TCCGAGACAAAACAGCCGTTAGTAACTTGTCCACGGTTATTCTATGGATGATGGCGCCGAGGTTTGAACACACTATCTTGTAGATATGTGCCGAACATCTTAACCATTCAGCCATAGCGGCTTGATGATGATGATGATTAGATTAATCAAGCTTTTCTACTAGCGATGCTTGATTGACATTACGATGAGAAGATATTGAAAAATTAATACACGTGATATTATTTTTAATTAGGACATATTTAGGCAGTTTTTAGTAATTGCGCTCTTTTTTTGGTTTATCATATTTGGAAGATAATTGTGCATCAACATTTGCGATTATTGATATAGTTTAAAATATTTTCCTTTGTATTTCTACTTTCTTTTATTTGTTTAGGATATATGAAATGTATTAAAGATGAAATTTTCCGATCGAAATGGTTAGGAGCTAACTCAACGAACGAATATCATCAAAGCGATGATGCAACAAAAAGGCATTATCTAATTGATATATTTCATTCAATTCTTCAATATTTTCGTTTCTTTTCACTTCATTCCTGCGGTTTATGTGATCTAAGTAAATAATGATCTTCATTTCTTTTTGGTGAATTCAATCTGCTCGTTCACTTGGTGTCCATATCATCCCCCTTATATTATACACAATTAGTCATGCGTCTGGCCTTACGTCTGCTTATTTACTCATTAACTCTCGTTTCAGATTGTGTCTCGATTTTCGTGCTGATCTTCGACTGGTCTTTTCTCATCTGAACATGTCAAATGACAACATTTCAAATATTACCGACATGCAATTGTAAGTCTGACATTACGGAAAATATTTCTGGTACATTTTATATATGCTTCTGCTTATCTTTCTCGTTTTTTTTCCAGACAAAATAGAGTATGCATTCATTTTCTAAGTCATTCAGCTCGTGTTCACTAAATTCGAAAACTCACTCTGTTAAAAAAAATGTGCATGCACTTGCGAAATATTTTTCTCTCGTGACTTTCGCGGGTATTGAACCAGTGTTTTCTTTCCATTCGCCCCTCAGATCGAGTGCACTTTGAACAATGTTCGTCCGTAGAGATGTTTTTGTCTTGTTTTTCTCTCTCTATTCCGCCTATTTGACCATTGAGCATAGAAAGAAATGGATTGGATGACCGAGGAGAATAAACACATATAAAAGATTGAGAATGTGTGTCTATTTATACATTTATTACATTGTTATTTCGAGAAAAAATGGCTATTGACTCGGTAAGCTATAGATTCACAATAGGTCTCGCTTTCGATTGTCTAACGCACACTTTCATTTCGATAAGGAAATTATTGCATGATTGATTAAATGTTATTCACTATCTCGTTTGCATATTGCATGTGTTGTACTTTGAGATACTCATCTATTTATTATTTAGATTACTAGTTATGAAGCACAAATAGATCGTCTGAATCAATCAATTCAAGGTCGTGAACAACTTTTCGATGAAAATCGATTAAATGATCAACAAATAAAGGAGCTGGTGGATGATGTTGGTCAACGGTGGCTCATTAATAAAATTTTACAGCAGCTTCGACAAGGTGAGTGACTTTACTGAATTATAACACGGTCACAATGTGTTCATCTTTACATTTAGAACAAGTACAACGTCATCAAGCTGCTCAATAATCATGAACTTTCATCTGCATCATCGTCAGATTTAATTGTAAGTAAAGATTTATTCGTTGAAAAAAAATATACCATCCTTTTCTTTGTTATTTTAGGTACGCGCAATAGCTCTCTATTTTTTTTCTTCTCATCCAACTATCATCTGTTCTGCACAATCCACGTGTTTGTTTTTTTATTTCGTTATATTCATGAGCAAATCAATGTTATTGACTGGTTCTTTTTTTTGTCTTGTTGATGGTACTGATAGTATTTGATTTTTTATTATCTTGCCTGCTCAATTCAGTTGTAAGGTTTTCTATAACTGGCAAAGATTCATGAGCAAACAATTGTTATTCTCTGTTTATTTTTGTTGTCCTATTGATTGTGGTGATGGTATTGATTGTTAACTCTCTTTTGTCAGGCACAATGCAATCGGTTACTAACCTTTTATTAGTAACGTACGTTTGTTTGTAATGACTGTTGAGATTGTTTTTTTTTCATAGAAAATCTTTCAACTTGTTTTCTGATTCGTTTATCTATGTTTTGTTTTCACTATATGTCAGTTAGGTTTTTTCATAACATTGAGAGCACATGATCCTATTTGTTTTTTCTTTGCGCTACATATGGACCTCGTACACTTTTTTTGGCGATGAAGGATTAGAATAAAAAAAAGATGTTTTATGACAAAATGAAACAAAAGGATAAGACTGATGTTAATAATATGAATTTTCATAGGAAATTGTACAAGTATTATCTGATTAGATCTCTTTGTTTTGATAGAATTGATTATTTTAGATTAAGAATTGATCCATTAAAATTTGAGTCCTGATATTCACTAACTGAACTATAACTATAGCTTCAAGATGCTTTTTTAAATATGTACTTAAAGTGAAATATGATTAACAAAGATTCATTTCTTTATAAAGATGCCTCAGATCTTGTGAGATTGTTAAGCTTTGTCTGATTTGAGTATGTGAATAGCGAAAAAGATCAATCCACACGAAAAAAAGGCAAGTCTCAGTACTTACTTATGTATTGTTCTAGGATAGAGATTTAATAGTTTTATATTAACTAACTGAGTTCGTATCAATCATTCAGTTTCTGATGATTTGCCTACGCTTGGATTGCTCCTCAACTGTTTGATCAGTTTCTACGAATCATTGAAATTTTAAGCTGTCATTGATCTATGCAAAGATATTATGCTTTCAAATATTTTTATTTTAAACTAGAAGATTTCAATTAGATTGTTTCCAAAACGAAAATCAAGTAAAAAATCAGCTGATTAAGTGATCGCATATGGCATCTGCTAATTCTAAATCTTAGGCTTATGTCGAGAAAACAAAGATAAATTTAAATCAGCTTTTGCCATTGAAGAAAACTGTTTGCTGGTAATTATTCTGCCTCACACTTTTGTAGTCTTGAAACGCATTTTAGATATGCACTCGTTATTTCTCGCGATCTTAACAAACTTTTCAAATTTGAGATGATGTTCAGATGCTGAATACGAGTAGCGATCTTAAATCGTGACTCATGAATCGAGAAGAAAAGAAAATTACACTAGAGAAAAACAATAAATTGACTGTTACTTTAATTACGCCATTCTCAAGAGGTATCTATCAAGAAGGTGAAATTCAACGTTATCATCAAAGATTACTCCACTGATTAACAATGGTGTCATAGAACATACATTAAACTTTTGATAATATGTCGGGTAAGCGTTTTAGTTTAATGATTATCCTTTTTCTATTCAAATAAAAAGTCTATTCAATTTGTGTACATCATTTTTTGATGAAAAGGTTCTATAAAAACATTGCCTAATCTCTAAAATCACAAGAATATATTTTTTGAATGATTGTTAATAATAACTTGTATACATCTTGGGTAAAATAAATATAGCAAAAAAAAACCTAATTTCCAATAAACAAAGGGTAGTTTTCTTCTTTGATTGTAGAACAAACAAATATGTATCGAAAGAAAAGAACTACCAGAGCTCCGCGGGATGCGGGGCTATCCCGCCAAATCCCATCCCGCGGCGGGACCAGGCGGGACGGGACAAGAAGTAGCGAAAATCGCGGGACGGGACGGGACTGAAATCCTGGCTGTCAGCGGGACGGGACAAATCAATTTACTAAAACGTCCCGCGAAGTTTTAATCATGTATCGTTATCACCCATTGTTCTGCTATTATTCTAACTTTAGTTAACTTCAGCTCCTATTCTTAATATTCTAAAATTTCTCTTATTTAATTTATCTATTTATCGATAATATATAGCGACTTTATCGAGGCACGTCCATGATTCTAATTAGTCCATCGAGTTCTTTCTCGATTGGTGCATTAACTTTAATTCGTCTTTGAAGAGTGCGTTAATCTGAATTAACTTTTCAACCAACCACGTGTCTTAATTCAGTATAAGTTTTCTATTCTAGTGTAGACAAGGCCAATTTCAGATGATTTTTTTATTTTTTTGGTTGTACATTTCAATTCTCGTTTGATTAATATCATATTAATTAACTTTTTATTTTCACAAATACGCAATAAAATCATCTAATGTCTTCTCCTGAAATTGTATCACCAGTTCGTACAACTCGTGATTTCAATTTATCTCTGCTCAATTCATCGATCTTTTCTCCTGATGATTCTAATAAACTCACATGCTCTCAAATTCAGTTGATGCTCGAAACGAAATCTAGTCAATATACTATTATAGATAATACAGGCAAGCATACATCTAACGGCTGGAGTTTTTTTTGGTTTCCCCACCATCATTAATCATAATGGTGTTATACTTTTTCTCGGATGAGTTACTCAACGAGAGTGTAGCTCTTGTTGAATTTTTCTTTTTTTTTGTCAAATTATTGTGATGTAGATGTAATATTTAAAAAGATCGATAGTAAAATAAATTATTCACATGAAAAACATATAAACTAGCTGCACTTCTCCAACTGTACATCGAGGAAAAAAACTTACATACACACGGCAGAACGGGACGGGACCGGACGGGACGGGATCGGACAGTGTAGAAAAAACGAAACGGGACGGGGCGGGACGGGACAACTTTTTGGTTGTCCCGCGGACCTCTACTCCAAATTATCTTCCTACCAATTGTATAGAGATAGTCTGTCATTCTATTTTTGTCTTAAGAAATTTAGATGATTCACACTATTCCAGTTAGTGAAATGATCATTTCTAATGAAACAAATAATAATAATATAGTATGCAGGCGTTAAAGAATAAAATACACTATGTTTCGATGTTGAGTTTTTTATAGTTCTATTAACTAACTATAACGGTAGGAGTCGAATATATTTCAAATAAGATCGTTAGATTTCTTTCTCATCCCATTTTATTTTGAGCGAGAATGGAATATTGTACGAGACCAACTGATTTGTTCTAATCTATAATACGTAAAATGACAACTCTCGTTACCCTATCGATGGCAAATGTTTTTGTAAAAGTATGAAAAGTTTTTTTCTTTCCAAAAATGATAATGCTTGTTGGATTATATAAATAGAGAGCACCGTCGAGGAATATTACAAAAAGAACCAGGGCTTTTTTTCAATCTCCGGTGGAATGATTTTTCTTTTCAGGGTGACAAAGGATATTGCTATATTGCTTATGAATATATGACGAACCCGCAACTTTGCCATGATTTACATTGCATCAGATTAGTTGAAGACACGCAGGATCGGCGAAGAACTACAAATATTGTGAATCCATATGATTGGAATGTTGATAAAAATAAGAAATATTATATACCATCGGACTATACTTTTCCTGATTTCGATTTCACATTCTTTTGGAAAGTAAATGATTATTTTAATTATTTTAAAAACATATCGACTGATGGGGAAATGGTTCCTTTTATATGGGCACAGTCGAACGTTGATTCTGATAAGCATCGTAGTCATAAGAGAGAAACCACAAGGGATGAAGAACGAGCAGTATTTGTACTTTGGATTGATAAAAAAAGCACTGAGAACACTCACGTAATGGAAAAATTTACAAGTGGTACAAACATTACAGTCGATTTTAGAGAAACTTATTCAAGCGCAGAAGCACATCTCTCGAAAATCAAGGACAGGATACAATCATCATCGAATTTTCTAATAATTTGCCGTGGTTTCTATAAATATGAGAACAAAAATCCATTAAATTTATTACGGTTTTTGAACGATAATGGGTTAGATTATGTTCCTGTTATTGTATTTACTCAAGATAAAGATGGTTTACTGCACCATTTTAAAAGCCAGGCCTCATCAATCGGCGTACGAGATTGGGAGCATCGTTTATTTATTACAAGTAGTTCAGAGGAATTGATCACAAAAATCAAGGAAAAAATACATCATAAACATGGCCGCTAAAATCAATGACAAAGAAAGTGTCCTATTAATGACTATGACAAAATAAGAACGCTATTGAAAACCAATTTTTACTTATACCCGTAGTTAGCATGCTAACAATCTTTTTTTCTGTGATTGTAGTCCAAAATAAATTAGCAAAAAACATACGAGACATCAAGCTACAACTAGACTAGTCTTTATAATTTAATTTGCAGAATGAAACTCGTTTAGAGTTCTTCGCAGCTAGTATAGAACTCGAGAAAATTGAGAAATTGATATTAAACAAAGCTTCATTATGACAACTTCTTTTTTTAGAGAGTAAACCACTATGAGTTCATACAGAGTTTTGTGGTTAATGATGGATAATTTGCTTACATAAGTGTAAATAATGGATAGGTAATTGTTGTTTTTTCCTTGCCTAATAAAGTGAACAATTTCAAGATCTTTGACATCCCTCTTCTTTTACTATCAATCAAAAATCGTTTTCATCAATGATTCTGTCGTAGAGCGTAATATACCCATTAACTGTATGAAACTATCTGGCGTCACTTAATTGTTGTGTATCGACTTTTACGTAGTGTAAACATAAAAACGAATGAATTGAATTCATGAAGAATGAGTAGAAACTCTATACAATGGATGGTTTTCGTATATTCTATTGTCAATAAGAATGCTGGTGCATATATGGGGTGAGAAAACTGCGTATCTTTCTCTAGGCGTCATGTGGTTTTTATTTGAGAGACATAAAAATACGTTTCTCCTATTAAGTCAGATAGAATAACAATTAAATCGATTATATTTATCTACCATGTTATATGATAGTATATTCTCATTTCTCGGCCATCTTCCCAACCAGCCCCTAAATAAAGGTTACTCCACTGAAACTTTAATTTCATGATTAATTTCGACTATTCTACTCTAACACCGATGATAAATGTTTATGATCATGATTTTTCTTCTTTTTTAAAAAACTTCTATAAATGATCTACGTATTTTTTTTCTTCTCTAGTCAGTATCATGATTTTTCTACTATTATTTGAAATGTCAAGCACCTAAGATAGAAAAATAAATGATCTGGTACGTCTTTTAATCTGAGGATTTGTTTAAAGAGTGACTTTTTTTAAACTTGACTTTAAGAGTGCGTAGTTTCGTCTAAATTACCTACTTTTTCACTTGATAAAGCTCTCCTTCACTAACCGCTGCTGAGTTTAATATGATTTCAAATAGGTACTTGACTGTTTTACAGTGTTTCCTGGAAATATTTTCATAGATAAAATTCTCTTTTACACTATCTACCGTAGAATAGCAAGAACTACGAAAACATTGAAGTGTAACATATACTTTTTCTTTAGGACTGATTCGATAAAACTTATATATTTATTTTTAAAGAACGAGAAATGAAACCAAGCCATGCACACATGTTCATTGCCATTATTGGCATCAATATGCTATTCGGCACCGTGACGTGTTTCAAAGCTGGCACAAGTTCGTTTGGTCAGCCTACATCACTCGACGTATGTGAATCAAATCATTATTTGATTACCACATGTGCTCTCTACCGGCTGGCAATCACGTATTTACAAGATGTTTATGATCACGATCATCTTGGGGCAGATTTTCAAGCTATTAATGGTACCTGCCAAGACGTTCATATGATTATCACAACGGAATTAGCAAAGTTCAACATTAGTTCAACGTTCTTTCGTCTAGCTCGTGAAGAAATCACCTTGGCCAACATCATGACCGACTTAATTTATGATCCCGCTTCATACACTCATTTTGACAATGAAGAATTTGAAAACGGCTCAAAATTCATCATGATGCAACTACGAGCAGCACAATCAAGTTTGGCACGCCGTGAATGGCAATACGCACGTATGGCAATCGGATTCATGTTGCATTCTATGCAAGACTTTTACAGTCATTCTAATTGGATTGAATTAGGCATGCGTGAACCTAATCGAGACTTAGCCATGGGTCGCCGTCTCGGTTCTATTGCGGACAAAGATACAAGGACTTGCAAAAGCTGTAACGGTTCGGATGAAGACTGTATTCGAGATAATTTGATTGTTGATCAATACCTGACAACTGGCTATTATCCCTACACACACCCGATACAAAAACCTCCTCGTAAATGTAATCATGGATATATATGCACATCTTCTGGTGAAAGAAGTGAAGGCTGCGAAGGTATTAGTAAGGACAGTGTGCATTCTCCACATGGACATTTGCATTATAAAGCAGCATCGATTGCATATAGTGCCACTATCAAAATGTTGAACGAACTGAGAGCATCGGCAAACACTTATACCTTCAGTAAATTCCTCGGTCTCACGAGTTCTTTTAGTCTCGTATTTGTGATCGATGTTAGCAATCGACTACAGCCCTTAGTTGGCATGATACGTACTGTAACCTCTCAACTAGTTAATTCAGTACAAAATCTGTCTACCAAGCCTAGCAATTACATTCTTGCACCATTCAACGGCTCTCATTGGGGACCTATTCATGTTGTGACAAAAATCAATGAATTTTTCGATTTAATCGAATCGTTAAATGAAACCAAACTTCAACATTCATCTGAACATTATTACGATGCTTTGAACGGAGCACTTAAAACTTGTGAATCGGAATCAGTGGCGTTCTTCTTCACGGATGCACCCAGCCATGAACCATGTTCGCAAGGACTTACTAGAGCGTTGGCAAGACTGAAAAATACCAAGATCGATTTATTATTTGTTAATAGTTCGCAGTCAACCACTGAAACAATCAGCGAACTTAATCATTTTGCTGTGACAACCGGTGGTCATTTCATCAATATAGACATTACACAACCAACAATAAATGGAAAGTTCATTTATCGTCGTCTTCAGGAAACACTCGGCTATGAATGCATTCTATTTCAATCTATGTCAAATCGTCGCGAAGGAATATTTATAATTGATACAACGGCAACATCGTTTCATATCAATGTCGTATCGTTTAGTCCGTCGATTGTGTTACAATTGATAGAGCCGACGGGTTCGATTTTCCGACTTGATCCGTCTGTGCAAAGTGGCTATCTTCAAATGTTTTCCATTGATGTAACGGCTCAATCGGATGTAGGTGAATGGAAGTACACTTGTAGTAAAGACTGTGCCATCGAAGTGAATATGAAGAGCAAATTTCGATGTCGAACACAATTATATGCACCATTATCAAATGAACTGGGTGAAGGAACAGTCGTCGCGCCTCCTCTATTCAACCAAAGTGGAGTAGTTACGATGACAACGTGTGATTACCCGAACGAAGTATCGCGTAATTCGATTCAATTAATCAGCATAACTGGTGAAATTTTGAGTGAATATTTGGCGACAGATGGCTTCAGTGAAATGATCCAAATTTCACTACGAAGCTTTCGCATACGTACTTGTCTTGCACGTCACGATGGTACGCTTGCTTACCGAGACGAACGCCCACTGATTGAGACCAGTCGAATCATGATGGTAGTCCATAATCAACCGTTGGTTGCTATTAGTGACGAGAATCTCAATGTAACGTATACAATTCAAAATGATGCCAACACGTCACTCTACGTGCAATTAGACATTGATGGTTTTTTCGAAAAATTCAAAATGGTACTCCGTAATGTCAAAATCGACGAGAAGTGATTTCATCATTATTGATACTGGTCAATATCCATTGAAAAACGAAACAGTTCGATTTATTCCATTGATATTCACTCTACAAGCATTCAAAGATAATAAAAAAACTGCGTCCGACGAAATTATTTTTCGACATGAACAAATTGTTCCATTCTACGTGCAAGATTCAGACATTCATCTTGAAGCTCCAACTCATTTCGTTAATACTGCATAACCAATCCTATATGTATCCATTCTTGATATATCTCTATTAATTATCGGTGTTGTTGTCAATCTATTCCTGATAACCCTGATATTTTCTATCTCATTTTCAAGCAATTATGTATAACTAAAATAGAATCTTGGATTTTTCCTTTTATGTACTCTATGCTCTTCTCACAGTGAATCATTTACTATTTTTCAATGCAGTCACTTCTAACAAAAGAAAAACGTGCTACATCATATAATAAACTGTTGGCATTAAAGCAAGCTGAAAAAATATTGTTGTTGTTGCTTCTACTACAGATTTTTACTAAAAATATCGTTGCTTGTAAGAGCTAGAGAAAATACTTACCAGCATTCCTTCATTAATTTTTACAAGCACGTGTTTGCATGGCTATTCAACACGAAGTCTTTTAGGTTTTTCTTTTTTTTTTTCTTGAATGAATCATACGAATATCTCACGTTTTTCGAAAACAGTATTATGATGGATCAAATCATAGTTTTGTTGAGAAATATTCATTTTGTGGCACTCACATACGTATATTTTCGAAGAAAAGGGTGTGCAAGTTTAAAAGCGAGATTTTAGCGGCTCCCCCTCCCGATTACAGACATTAATAAGTTTAAAATTGTGCTAATTAGGAGCTTCACTAATTAGGCTGCTATTTCTTTCTTTTTTAATTACAGACTACACGAAAAAAGCAATACTTGCCCACTACAGACCATAGTAACTAGCTTAGGGTACCATTATAGATCACAGAAACTAGTATTTGGCATTGTGAAATATACGAGCTAACAATTAATACTGCATTATTGACATAAGCAAATTGGCAATGACATAATTATAGGTTTTGGAAATCAAGGTAGATTTTTCAGATGAACTATTTTGAATTACTTTAGTAAGCCTAAGGGATATATCTGAGTTCCACATTTTAGCCCCAAAGGGGCTGCGCTAACAAGCTTTTCATATTATGCTCCGAAATACTATTCCCATTATTATATAATCTAAATTTCATCGATTCAATAATGAAGAATGAAAGTGTGAAAAATTTTAAAATAGTTATATGATGTGAATTACCCCTTTCAGTATTCGTGAAAATGAAGTTTATGAGTCTTACAGGCCGTCGCACACAATAATAAAATAATGTCGATCTGTATGCATTTAATGTAATATCTAAAAATATAGCAATCCATATCTAAATTAATACAGTAGTATCTATTTCGGTGAAATAACACCTTTTAAAAAATTGTTTGATCTAATTTTGTAGTCAAACGTCTTTTAAATCAATTAATTGAAAGAGTATACATGAGCTTGGAATGACGATAAGTGATAGAAACAAGTTAGTTTAAAAAAATATTTAAAAAAATACCATTAAAAAAATGGCAGAAGCATTATCAGTTGATGATAAAACTGATGCAATAGATTCTAAAACAGCATTAATTGTGTAATACTTTTCTTTTTTTTACCCTGTTTTTTTTGCTATAATTGATAATTGTATCTTTATTTTTTTCTATTACTTTAATTATTAATTAGATATAACTTTGTGTTGTTAGGTAGTGTTACTTAATAAATTAGATATAAATTCATCCAATATTAGATATAAATTTATTTTAAAATTAGATATGGATTGCTATATTTTTAGGTATTAGTTTATATTTATCCCATGCCGATCTGTATACTTCATTCGAAAAGAATTCCATTGGACATGTACAATTTTTTTTAATTTTCTGAAATCCCTCATGATTCTGTAAACTTCTTCAATGTTCTGCATTCGAAATTGAATGTGCGCGCATTACACAAAAATAAAAAAGAAGCAAACAGGAATAGAATAGAATTTTTTCTTTATTAAAAAAGCAAATAAAACATTCATTGAAAATAAAATTTTTGTCATACATATTTAAAAAAACGAACGGGATCGTTCGCGACACCTCTAATTCATTTCTGCCTTTTGCATTGATTATTTCACTGTGGTAAATAACTTACTATAATGATATCGCACTCCAATAAAAATATTCTAAATACCATAACTACGATGAGTTATCGTTCGTCTGGCCGATTAGATGAGAAACGAAAATAGGAAAAATATTTCAATGTCAACTTCATGTAAGAAAAATGAAAGAGGTGACATAGGAAATAAAAAATGACTTTTTTTATTTATGCAATATTCAAATGGCAGTAGAAAGAAGATTCAATCTGTGCTCCTCCTAAGGCTAAAAAATGTAAAATGTACTGTTTCATCGATAGATCATACAGTTTGGCGTGAACATAAATGTAGGTGTCGCATTTTCCGCCATTCAATACAGATATTCTCAATCAACTCTAATCGATTTATTTTTTATTTATTTTTCCAGAAAATCGTAATAAATTTGTTGGCTAAACTAGAATTCTTAAAATATAAAACACCATTCGTTATCAATCTACCTCACCGACAAATATCATGTCAACGCAATCTTTGGGAGACATTGAAAAAATGGTTATAATAGTCAAAGTATTTATAATATCTGCAGAACATATAAAATTAAATGTATCAAATTTTAAGGTGTCTCACACCGATTTGGTTCTAAGTCGCGTTAAGCAAACGATTGCATCACCAATTAGTAATCTACTGTTAAAATTTGCACGTTACTTTTATGATGGTGGCGCTTCAAAAAACTTACTCTGCCTATGTGGCACCATTGTGAGTCTATATAGACAGAATAGATATAATATTCCAGTTGAAATCTGGTTACAAGAAGACCATCCATTGGTAGCTCCACTTGCCTATGTGAAACCGATATCGAATATGTATATTTCCCCAAATGCGCTATATGTCCAGGACGATGAAGTAGTCATTTTATCTTATCTTGAGTTTTGGGATCACGTAAGACCGTATTTATTTGCTAAATCATTAATATCGGTTTCGTTTAGACTACAACTGATTGAAGCAGTTTACTTCAAGCAATGTCCACATTATTTAGCGAATGGCCGCCTGCTTTTTCACACACTTTTGATAAGAAAGATTCTATATCCAATCGAAATACCGATTCAATTGATACGAATGCATCTACGCTTTCTTCAAACAGATATTCAACAGTCGCCGACAGTAAATTTCATACTAGCAGGATAGAGAACGATTATGAAATATCAATAGGACAATAGAGTGTTGTGTACTTCTTAGACAGTAAACAATTACTTACTGGCTAAGATATACTTTCATGGTTAGAGAAAAATGATAATCAAACCAGATAGAAATAAACATAAGAGCAAATTCGTTTATTTTCATTATATTATTCTATCGAGATGTTCAAATCATAAACTTTTGTTCAAGATTTCTACTTTAACTAAGAGATTTATTGTAAGAGAACGAGTGCAAAATTTAGATAGTTTTTGCTCCTGCTATGAGAGACAATATGATAGCCAAGATCAGCATATTCGGTCGAGCTGGACGGACTCATCATTTTATTAAGAGAATCACGAGGCTGACTTCATATATTCAGTGAGATACATTCTATGAGGAGACCATCCGAACTAATAGCCATCTTATAATCTAATAACCGATCCACATGAATGTTTTGTTGATAAAGCTACAATATAAAAAGGCTTTTTCACATGAAGTTCTGCTTAATATCTGTACTTCATTGTGCACCCTGCATTGGATGAAAACTGAAACCGAAAAATAAAGTTCCATGGTCACCGCTTCACCCCAATTGCTATCGATTTGGGTGTTCATTTTTTAAAATTTTACTAAAACAAAATCGTTTTCATTGCTAAAGAAATTATTACGTAGTAGGTGATCCATAAGTATAGCATGCAATTTCTTCGTAGGTAAAGCTTTCAGTGCGACACCCAAAAATGGCGATGAACAAAAAAGTTCTGATCGATTTTACGATATGGCTTCAGTACCACGACGAATACTTCTGCCAATTCAAGGTTTTGAGAAAATGCCTCTTGTCTCACTTATTCCAGATGTCGAGCAAATGGTTTGGATTGCTGAACAAAATTGTAGTAAGCCCAAGGATGGCTTGACTAATGATGCATTTGCATCTATCATGCTTTACACCATGTAGTGGGAACCACACGGAAAATCTTTCTATTTAAAACTCAGCTCCGTTCTACGAGCAAGTCTTCGCGCAGAACTGAAACCATGGTTCCTATACCTTCGACTTATCATCAATGCTCTTGATAAACGTCGCTCCCCTCTCATCGTATTGCGTATCGAGGTATCAAAGGGAATTTAGCCGCAGAATATACCCAAGGTACTACCTTTATTTGGTGGGGTTTTTCTTCTTGTACTTTGTCGACTGAAACACTAAATCATGAACGTTTCTTGGGAAAGACAGGACAAAGAACTTTCTTCACTATAGAATGCAATTCCAGCAAAAAATATTCGATCGCATTCATACTATGCTGCCAAAAATGCAAGTTTGCTATTGCCTGCTCGTCAATTTGAAGTTGTTGGCTGTCTTGATCAAGGCAATCGACTCCATATTGTTCAGTTAAGAGAAATACAACCGAAATTTCCTCTCATCAAATGGTAAACATCATGCAATAAATCACCACTGATGGATTTGACTTTGTTCTAATATTCGTATCAATCACCATTTATAAGAAAAACAAATAAGATTAATCTATATGCAAGAAAATGCCAACATCCCCATCTTTTTATTGATTAGCTAGAGTTCTCACTTGCTGTAAAGGCATTCGAAATGGTTTTCATGTATACAGCTTATATGGTCACTTCACTTTCCTAAAAATGAACATCAATTTAGATTCAGGTAAAAATTATTTTATATGGGTTGCGTGTGTGTGATATGTGTCTACAGTGTTTTTAATATTAAGTACCACAAGCAAAAGCAAAGTACCCGTGGTACTTACGATTTTGAAAAAGTACTTTGTTTTGCACTTTGCTCGGAAAAACAAAATACCCTGATGGTACTTTGTAAAATAAAAAAGTACTTTGTTTATTTGTTAGCCATTGTTTAAAATTTCCTATCTTTCCTTTTGTTTATATATTCTGTTGTATTTATAGATGAAGCTAAGAAGTATTTTTTAATTTGATTGAATTCATTATTGAAATTTCTTTTCTTTTTCTAGATATNTAACAGCTAATATTAATATTGATAATTTTCAGAGTGAAAAGATTTTAAATGATCGATCTGATTTACCTGTTAATGATAACAAAATTTCAGATCAAGAAGAATTAGTTATTATTGATGAAGTTGAAACAGAAATTATACTGGATTCATCTAATGAAAATAGAGCACTTATATCAACAATTAAATTAGGAATTTCAACTGAATCAACTACATGGTTTTGCGAAGATTGCATCGGCATGCATGAAGAAGAAGAACAATAGTAAATTGTACTTTATTTGCTTTTTTGTATACACAATACTTAAGGTTAATTCAGAAAAATGTTTATTTAAGCTAGTCAGATGAATATGTGTATTTTATCTTTATCTACAAGTCTTTTGTATATTGTTTTCTTGTACCGAAACATTTTATTAATTAAAAATGGTCAATAGCATATATTTTTTCTTTGTTTTTCTTAAGTTTCTTCCTGTTGGCACTTTGAGTACTTTGTTGTTCATCACAAAGTACCACCTAACACTTTGCCAATAGAAGCAAAGTACCTAAATGTACTGTGTTTTAGATTTCTGTTAAAAACGCTGTGTGTCTATCTATGTATGAGTGCAACGCACTCTAGAAATACAATCATTAATACCGAGCTATGGAGAAAACTAAAAAAAATTTTCGTCATAAAATAATGATCGCATTTACAAAAATTTTCATTTCTATAGAATAAAATGTGATTTAGAATAATCTACAAATTGTCTTTGATATCAAATTAATTTTAAAGAGATATACGATTAGTCAATTCTATCGTCCAATCAGATTTATCGTGTTTTTCAATTTTCGTTCAATGGAATAGGAAAATAATTTAGAATAACATGAATATATATACATATAGATAATAGTTAACTTCAAGTACAACATTATCGTTGTTAGCATTTTGCTCGATATATGTACTTCACTATTTCGTATCTAAATCGGATCGGTCGAAGAAATTGTTTGCAGTTACTCTCATTCTCTTAGGAAGAATTGAATATTTCCCTGGTGAATCACAAAGGCTGAATGAAGAAAAATACGCGTTTTCTTTTCAAAAATTACTGACTTTATCAGTTTGAACTAATGCTGGTTTTTCTTTTTGTCTGTAGATCTATTTTTAAAAAAGCAAGAAATGTCACATCAATTATGTCAAAATTGTGGGTCAAACCAATTCGAACATATTGATGGGCGTCTCTATTGTATTGTGTGTCAATCACAAAATATATCCTTACAAATTCACGTCTCATTTGCCAACGAAGGTAATGCGCAATTGGGCCGTCGTGTACGTGATCAAACACAAACAACGTCCATATTTGATGAGACCATACCTAAAATTGAAATCTTCGAAGCTAATGAAACATTATCACATACATTGAATCAAGCAGATGAAACAGTATCACAAATGAGTAATTTGTCTGTTGATGATAATGAACAAACATTATTAGAACAACATGTTTGGAGTTCATATGAAGTATACAGTTATATATTAAATATACAAATTCAATCAATTATTCATTTAGATTATATAAAAAAAGAAAAACAAGATGAATTTATTGAATGTACATTTATGCTTTATTTACGATACTTATCAACTAATGGAATACTTGATACTAATCAGCAAAGATTATTGATAAGACAAGAAGAAAAACGATTAAAAACAAATATTATTTCGAAATTACTTCATGCAGATCGTTTTAATCAATTTGCTAAATTAAATTCGCATCTTTTGAAAAAACAATTATGTATACTTAATTTAGATATTCTTATTGGTTTAATTCATTGGTAAGAAAAAAGTGGTGAAATTGTTTGTAATTATAAGATGGCTTTTGTTAAAAATCTGAACTTCGAGTGAGACTTTCATTCAGCGTTAGAAAATGATTCTACATTGCCATATTCATCAAATGTTTTCTTCGCTGTTGAGAGGCATTTAGAAGTCTTAATTCTTGTTGTCTCTCCGAGCGGTTATTGAGTTACCGAGAGCAACGTATATCCCATGGGTTAGAATTCACAGAAAAACAACGCAATGAATTAATTATTAGTTACATATGATTTAAATCTCCCATGTGATCAAATTTATAATATATAGATTAATATTATTCTTGGTTGACCTTTGCCTGTTACAGACATTTTCCATTCGTAAACAGAAGAAAAGCGAAATCAAGGATCTCCAAGTTTGACTATCATAGATTTACATAAAATACAGCCTTCAATTTATTAACGATAGTAGTACTCGGGGGAAAAGTCAAATCTGAGTTTAACAGAATTTCCACTATCGAGCAGATACACATAGGAACGTACCGAATATTTCTCGGCTTGATTCAATTTTCATTACAATGTTGCGAAAGGCTGAGTTTCAGTCCTGTTAGTACCTTTAGTAAAACTATAATAAAAATTGAAAGACGCTTCGCACAGCATTCGCTAACATTTCATTCTGTAGAAAACTCTTTGCTCTACAACATCTACTACTTCAAGTCCTTTGTTTTTATGATAAAGTATTTGTTCTACAAAAAATTTCGGCATTTCACTCTCATTCTCTATCCGTGAAGGATATCAAGCGTTGGCATGAATCAGATGTTGCTAAAGTATAGAAAAAGATATTTGAAAAATTCTTCCTATCAATATCCGTCGTATTGGGTTTTGATAGGACAGCTTGTTTACTCGTTCTATTTTGTTTTGTCCTCATTTCTAGTGCTTGTACATTAATTAATTGTCCCATAACAATCAAACAATTAATTGAATTAACAAATACAAATAAACTTCCGTATTATAATATAAAAACTTATCTACCTAATTGGATGCGAGCAACAGGTCGTGATCGATTTAATCTTGAAAAAATGAATATCCATTCAGGAAATTTATTTTTTTATTATACCGATTTTATTCAACCGGTAATAAAACCGTATATATCGAAGTGTATATTTCAATCATCATCATATTTCTATGAAATACTTTTGCATTTTTGTGAAATTTTTTGCCAACAAATTTATTTTCCATTCGATGATCATACTCGAATATTATTTGAATCAATGTGTAGAAGAATTCTTGAAAAAAAATCTATCGGTCGACGATTTCTTTGTTCATCATTCGATATGGAATTAACTTCAATATCAATCATCATCGTGATAATTTTACTTCGATCTATTAATGATTCGTTACTCGATGAATTTATTCAACATATAAACAAAAAAGAAAATCATCAACAACTATTTTCATATTCATTATGGTTACAAAATTTAAATTATTTAACTCATTTACAATCAATTCGATATTATGAATTCTATGGACGAAAATCAGTTTTATTAGAATCGATAACAGATAATCATTCAAAATTACGATATATGAAGCATTTATCAAAAGTCTTCGATCGAAATGTCGAATTAAATAATGAAAAAAAACTCGAAGAAATCTATGAAAAAGAAAATCAAATTCGACATATACTAATTGAAAACTCAAAACCAGGCTCATTAATTTATGCGATCAAACCAAAAGAATTTTTTCTACAAGAATTTCAACATTTATCATCAAGTAATTAAATTTGAAAATTTTAGCGTTTTGATTTTTCTCGGATATTTGCAGACAATGGAAATTAAATATCAAAGAGTATAATATGCTTGTCACTAACTTTAGTTCTTTCAATAGCAAACAATCTTATGCTATAGGAATCGTTCATATAGTTCTACCATGCATTTTTATCTATCTTTGTATTGCTTTGTTAGTTCTGAATGAGATATACCCATTGAAGATGATAAATATTCATGAGCATCGAATGATACAACGAAATATGAGTTCAACAAAGATACTCAATGATAAATATGAGGAATAGGGAAATGACGATGCTCCTACTCTTGCTGACCGTTGACCAGAGATGGGTAAGTCAGGTCAAGAAAATGAGTATATTTTTGTGATCTATGCCTCTAATTCTTCTCTACGCAAAATTTAGACATCGCAAAGAAAACACAGAACATGAAAGACTGTTACGTATTTCAGAGAAACAGTGAATAGATAAGAATATATAGCCATTTCTTCACTTGCCGATCTCAGGGCTGTCGATTATTTTCAAGAATGAAAGGAATTTAAAATTTGCCAGAAATTATAAGGACATTTCACAGGAACTTCATAGATTTCCAATTTTTGGGCGGTGTTAGTTTTTCTCTAATCATCAAACCTGGCCCATGGATAGCCTATAGTTCAATGAACCGATACTCTTTGACCTGCAACTAGATCTGAAAAATCACTCTACTCTATTTTGTGAAACACGATCTGAAAGGAGCGTTGAAGTATATAGGATAGAAATTTGAACCCCCCACAGACCGGGACAGAGAAATTAATTAGTTAGTTAGCTGGTTAATTAACTAATTAACTTCTGTCACGGTCTACGATGGCTTTTGAAGTCTCTCTGTCACGGCCTGTGATGGTTTCTAGAGGCCCCATACATCATAATACAGACTATAACAGAGAAACTCCACAGACCATTAGTGACAGTGATAGACGAACTCCAGAAAAGAAGTTTCATCGTGTTTCACATTTTAATCCCACAGAGATTGCGCTAACAGCTTTTTTTTTATTATTATACAGATACAGCATAGGATTCCTAATCTCGTTTTGCATTTCTTCATAGTTGCTAATCTCTTCAGATCTGACTGCCGACGTAATAAACAAACAGATATGATATAAATTAAATTTACTTATCTACTCAATAAACTTCTTGCTATTAGCTGAGATCGTTCTTATATTAACTATAAATACTCGTTAAACAACCTTAATCTTGCCCGCAACGTGATTAAGCGTATGTCATTATATTCAATACTACAGCCATTGACTTTTATTTAGTATGGTTAGGAAACACATTATCATTATCATAATAATAATAATAATAATAATCCTCATTTCTAATAGACACATATTTACTGTAAATACGTACACTGAGAATAGCGTCGATAGTGTCAATCTACAAGTAACAGATGTCTGTCACTCAAGCAAAAAATGATTTTCTCCGATTAGTTTATTTAATTATGAAAAAAAGAATGAATTAGCTAAACTATTATTGACAGAGCGCAACTGCTTATACAGAAATAGGATTGTAAATAAATGATTGTACTATTCGACTACGATATTAGTCAGTCTTTCTTTGCATTGAGTCATTGATAAGATAAGTTGAAATTTATTTTTATCCAAAAATAAAACTGGTTTTCTTCCTACGATTTAGATTCTTCGTTACCAACTATATTTGAATCAATTGTTAATACATATTCGCCATCACATTTTTCTATTGTTGATAAAAGTGAATTATATGAAACGTTACTGTCATTGTTCAATGGTACAACTATACATCAAATAGAAAATTTCTATTTACTTCATCAACGTTTTGATTTTGCTTCATCAACAAATTTTCACTTAAATCATCTTATAATGACATTAACAAAATTTAGTTCGATACCGTACAATCAAGATTTTTATTCGTTTCTATCAATATTTTTGAAGACATTCTGTTTTCACGATCAACATCTTCATCATTACTTTTATCAATCAACGTTTTCAAAACGTTTTAATTCAAAAAATATTCCAAAAGATGTTGGAAGAAAACAATATGGAATGGATCAATTACCAATAATATATGATCTTAAATTTGAACAAGAACGACCCTTAATAAAAGAGAATAAAACTTGATTAAATGTTGTTTTTTTTTGTTATTCTTAATTATTTATTTTTAAAGATGAAAATAACTTGTTCGGTGATCTAATCATCACAAATGAATTTGTATCGCGTATATATATATATATATATATTTTTTTTTTCTTTTGTAACCGATTGGCATAGCTCCAACTATAGTCACAATAATCAAAGGAATAAAGGAAAAATACTTCATCGTAGTATTCTTTCGTATATTTGATCAGTAGAACCTTTGTCCTTTGGATTTTTGCACTAATGCACTAGATATTAATGATAAGAAAATGGCCATATTTATGTAAAGATGTTCCCATGTCCTTTCTCAATTTGCCAACTACGTATACAGTTATCGATAGAGTCTATCTGATTGCTGTTGTTTTTCCTTCTGTCCTCTCCTCTTCTATTGCTAGAAGATTGTTATATGTCGCCGAAAGGCATAAACATGCGCACATTAATACAAAAGAACGAGTAAGTAACAGTTCGTTTGCTTGACGCATCTTAAGTGAGCCACAAATAAAAATATTTCTATCTTGATGAATTAAGCCTCTTCTATTATTATTCTAATGTAATCTATGGTTTTTCATCTTTCGCAATCATGTTATTTACTTGAGTCATTATTTAAAGTTTGCTTTAGTTATTTTTTACTTATCGGCATGGCGTCATAGATGATTCTTCGTGCACTTTAGTTAATCGTGTCAGACTAATATCTATATATACGTATATATATATGCATACATCACTGATTGAGTTTAGGTCGTGACTCTCATTTTATCTTTAACTTCGCCGAATATTCTACTCAGTGTATTTATATAAATGTGATTTTATTTCCTATCGAAATTTGTTTTTTTTAAAGATGCATTCGATAGGAAAGTTCGTTTTTCAGATTTTTTTAAATTGTGCTTTTGTTCACAGTGCAACTTGACGCAACGACTTGTTAGTGTTCGATGACTGCAACTGGTACCGGTGAATATACACCGAAACAAACAGTAGGTTTTGTTCGATTGAGTCCATATTCTATTCGATTCATATCTTGCCATTAGACAGAACACTCGCACGACCACACGATCTCGAGCGAATATTGCCGATCACAATATTGACTAGGACGCTATTTAACTGAATATAATTATTATTGGTATTGTTCAACTAAATTCGATTGGTGTCGCGTATCAACAAAAATTAGAGACTAGACGAACCCTATTTAAACAAAAATGCCGGTGTCACACGATTTTACTTATCCGTCAGTAACGGAAATTCGACATAAAAATCTTCGTTTTCTTATTACCGATAGTCCAGATGATGAGAATATGCAATTATTTATTGAAGTATATATAAGAATGAAAGGATATGTTTTTCATTGCTATGATAATATTTCTTCTTTCTTTTTGTCATAGACTTATGTAAAATATAATGTTACAGCAGTAGTACGAGCTTCAGAAAAAACTTACGATCCTAAACCAATTGAAACAGCCGGAATTAAATTTTATGTAGGTATTTTATAACTATACGGTCGATTTTTATAGGAAATGTTTTCTCGTAGGATGTGGAATATCCAGATGGAAGTGCACCGGATTCTCTTGTTCGTCAGAAATGGCTCCGCATCGCTAAAGAGAATAAAAATGGTTGTATAGCTGTGCATTGTGTTCATGGTCTTGGCCGGTTCGTTGATTTAAGGCACGAAGTCTTTTATTGTTTGTTATTATATTTTGTATAATAGCTCGCCTGTTCTTGTCGCAATGGCTCTATGTGAAGCAGGCATGAGTCGACAAGAATCAATTGATTTGGTTCGCACGCGTCGACGCGGTTCATTTAATATACGTCAATTAGAATTTCTACAAAATTATCATTCAGCTCATCTTCTAGTGCGTAAACATCCCGGCTGTCTCATCATGTAGAATATTATCTATTTTTCCTGTGTTTACTCTTTCATGTCGATTCTTCTTTTTTGCTCTTGCTTGCCCGGTTATGCACATATAGAAACACAATTATGTTCAACAAATTGTGTTTTCTTTCTTCCTATTGTTAATTCATAAATATTATGACAAATATTTTCAACAATAAATATTTAAGTACAGAAAAAAAGAGAACAAGGCGACAACATTACTAGAATGCTGAAAACTTAATGAAAAGAAGGATGAGTAACCACGCCTTCGAATAAATAGCGTAGAGAAATGTTTCTAATTCACGATAGTAACTGAATTATCGTTCGCAATTAAAACTGACAGAAATAATGCTTAAAAGTTGTTTCTATCATTTGTATAAAATTGCAAATATTGCAGAGTTATGATTTTATCACTCGACTGAAAAGAGAAGAGCATGAAAGTCTTTTCTATAATCCTGCATGATTTTATGCATGTGTAAAATAGGATAGAAGATGTCATTTGGCAAACTAATATTAATAATTCATATTCTTTCTGTGTACTGAGGCTGCCAATTATTATTAATGTCACTAGTAACTTTGGTTTATATTTCATGAAAAAATGCATATGTTACTGGCAACATATGTCGGGTAAAAATGAAGAGATTATCAACACTCATATGCAATTGCAACTAATACTTTCAAGTCCATTGAACAAATCTCTACGGCAAGATAAAGAATGATTTTATAAAAAAATATTTCCATTAATATATTTTGATAAAATGTTTTCTTTTGGTTATTTACTTTTGTTAATACGAAGCTGGACGATGAATATTGATAATAGACATTTCATAATTATCATTGAGTATTTGTAATTGCGATGAATTCAGGAAAATGATGTGTCTATATTTTCAAATCATTAACAGCAATGACTAGTGAATGGTAAACTCGACTTTGGTCAAAAGTAAAAATGTCGAAAGAAATTTATAAAAATAAAATTAAAAAATCTAAAAGAAGGAGTGTTTTGAAAGGTATTTGATCAATATGTTATTATTGTAGGCAGTGGCGGATCTACCAGTTAGGCTACCCGGCCATCACCATCCCCCTTAAGAAACTTTTTCGATTTTCTTCTGCAGAAATGAAACATAAAATAATTGTTCTGTCTCAACTAGACTTGAGAAACCGTTTTTTGGCCAGGAGCGCCACTCCCTAACAGATTTTCTGGACCCGCCACTGCTTCTAGGATCGATGGCGACTTATGTTCGTTTAAATCTATCATTAGTCTATTCGACATTGGTCACTTAGTACAATGTAATAGAAAAGAATAAGAAAATTATTCTTCAATTATTCATTATTCGAGTGATAAATATACATATGGAAGCCGCCACTGAATCGACACGCAACATCAACAGTGGCTTAAATTTCCTTACTTCGAATAAGGCGCAACCTCTTTTAATAATGAATCAATTTTGAACACGACATTTTTCATGAATACCTACTCAGTTTTAGACATTTTTACTGTCGACCAAAGTTCAGAGATTCTAATGAATGTAAGGAGTTCGATGAAAGCTACTTTCTTAGTTAGTTTTCATTCGGGTACGGTGTGTTATATTTCATAGAAATGAAACTACGATGAAATTCATTCTAGAATCAGTATGTGTTTACTGTCACATATGCGGCTATGTCTGAAAAATACGTCTTCAACTTCTTGTTCTGTTATTTGTAAACTCTATTTTAGTGCAAATAATATTCATAAATATAATAATTGCTACAATAATTTGTGATGCCTCTTTAGATGATACGTTGCATTTTTTGTTCATAATTATGAAACAAATGGATGCTTGTATGGATGCCACATTTCGAATCTTCTTCAGCAAGGCTTCGATTCCTTGAAAACATTTAATTGACAAGCGTGAGGGTCTAGGTGTGACAACATTATTCATGCACATAGAGATAATGACAATAACTATTTCTTTAGCTCATCGTGATAACGCTCATAGAGAGCGTTGTTGACCGGAAAATTCGTTGTGGACAATTTGTCGTGTGTATAAATGATTATTGTATTACGCTGAAAATATCACGATAACTTTCTAATCAAATAATTTATCGAAATTTTTTGGTATGCGCGAGGAGATTGCCGTTCACAACACCCACACCCTGCATCAGCAATAAATCGTATGGCACTATCAGCTGATGCTTTTGGAAATCGAATCTATTTTCTTGAAGATATTTCGAATGAAGTAGGACATTTTATTTTGTCCAATAAAAAGAAAGCAAGCTTCACCTTTTTACTTCTATTCGGTGTGTTGTCCTAATTTGGGTGTAGGTGTAGTTGTTACTGTTCACAACAACCACGCCCTCCAGATTATTTGTGAAACGGTTGTCAGCGCAACCCCTTTGGGGCTAAAATGTGGAACTCACATATGATTTTTCACCTCATTCTACTAATACACAATACGTAAAGTTTTGAAATGCGTTGCAAGACAATTGATCGGTAGAAATAAAAATCTCTTATTTAGTTTTTGCATGCTTGCTAATGTCTGTTATGGGAAATGGGAGTCGCAAAAATCTCGCCTTTAAACTTACACTCATCATTTTCTTGGAAAGTATATGTGAGTTGCACAAAAATCCATAAGATGACTTGAATAAAGAAGATAACTATCAAACTTTTAATGGAACAACAAAGTATTTCGAGAAAACAAAGAAAATTTGGTGCGCACAGGAGAACATGAAATATTTCCATCACATGCTGTTCATTTTTTTGAAAAGATTCCGTGTCATTTTATTATGTTGATTGTAACAAGAGAAGCTAGGCAGTTGTGCGAATGAGCCACTGTTCTATTTGAGACACGGATGGTTTCAAAGTTTCCTCTTTTGAATTATCTTTAGCAAGTTAGGCAAACCATTTCGAAGCGAAAAACGTCTATACGAGCTGAAAAATAAATTTCCCTTCTTAATTCAATATAATAAGCCGAAGCTGAAATTTTTAATTACATGACACTATTTGGAAAAAAAATGTTTTAAATCGATCCGATAGTGAAATATGAACAAATTATTATTGACATTACTTATGAAATCAAAAATTTTTTGGTAAGATTAATTTTCCTACACGAGTAACAATTTCTCTTGATACTGCGCGAACTACTAATAAAGTTATTTAAACGTCCCTAATGATATACCAGATTATGCTTGGATTCCTCCTTAGTAGTAACTCTACATATGCAGATAGATACATAGTTATATAGGAGAAACTTATTTGTTTTATCAGGTGTTTATTTTCTGTTATTCGGGTGTTCGGTCTATTCAGCGTGTAAGTATGTACAGCTGTTTGTATAGAAATCTAGCAGAAAAGTTGCAACTTGGTTTTCTTTCTCGCAACGTTTTTTGTTATATTAAACAATCCTGATCTGTATGGCTTCCATTTTTTTCATGCTGCCGATTATTCAACAGCTAGAAGAACAAATAATTTGATGAAAACGTGCTTGATCTTTCCCGTTTTTTTTTCCAGATAGATATAAACTTAATGTATCATGCTCTTGGCTGTTGAAAAAACAAACAATTATATCCGTATACATAAGTCATCAAAGTAAGTCAACATTGTAAAGCATGAAACACTGATATTATCACGAGGATTCTTCATTTATTCTATAGAAAAAAAGTTTAACTGCATAACTGCGGCTTAGTATTGAAAGAATTATGATTGATTATCTATAATCTCAATGTCAAAGCAATAGCAAGATTAATTGGTGTAACGTATTCAGTCTGATAATAAGATAATATAATTCTCGTTGACTATTTGATTGTCGCGCTTAGCAAAAAATAACTAATGTTTGCAATAAAATAATCTTTCATAATACTAACAAATCCCATCGTGCAATAGAGAGAGAGAGCGAGAGGGGGAGAGGAAGAGAAAGTTCTCCTTGATAGGAATGGTAGAATAAAAAAAACAATAACTTTCCCTTATGAATTCATTTCTTGCCAGATAGAAGCTTTAATTAATATATTTCCATCAAACTATGTTTAGTTTTCAGGGTTCTGTGTTGATAGAATAAATGAGAAACAATAGGAGATCGTCTGGAATTATTCATATGCTTAGAAGAACATAATAGAAGAGCCAGAGTCGACTATTATCGAGGAAGATCTAATAATGGTAAACAACTTATCAATGATAATGTATATCAAATAATTGGCCGGGTTAGGTAACACCCGGGATTGACTCTTACAGAATGTATTCGATCCCACGCAAGCAATGAGTTGAAGGCCGATAATAAAAACAATGCATCGATCGAAGATACTCGAATAACTTTCAATACGTTGATATTAAGATTCTAGAAAAAAAGAGCTTCATGATTGCGCTCTTTTGGTTTTTGAAAACAAATCAAAAGAATCGTAACTCGTAATTCAACACAGACGGAGCAACATATATAAACTTTGAATTTTTCTCGAATCAATGGATACACTTCGATTTTAAATTTTCCGATTGATACACATTGATTTCTCTATTTTGTCATTAATCTGTCTCAATAAAACGATATCGACGTAGAATCTTGTTATTGCTATTCATTATTAATCAGAAATGAAAGTTAAGCCAAGGCCAATCATAGAGAAATATCAGTATCATCAAAACTCGATAAATTTTAGTTTGTTCTTCTTTGCTTTTCATACACGTAATTTTTAGTGCGATTTTTTTATTGTGCGGTTAAAATCTATCGAGCAGATTAAAAAGAACAACTGTTGTCGCCATATACTAATCTATCATGTATCATATGCATAGACGAATGATGGGCGTAGATGTTAGCTTATTCTCTCATCTGTTCGTAGCAGAGCTTTCCCTTCTTCTTCTTCTTGCTTTCGCATGGCCTTATTCTCATCAATAATAAGATATACATCAGACAAGCACATATATCTTTCTCGTTTTTCTCGTATTTATCTAAAGAGAAACAAAGTAATAAAGAAAAAAATGGTCGTATGATTACAACGGTATCCCTCTGTGTGTCATATCTCTATGTATTCTAGTTCTAACAAACAATTCGTTACGCTAAATACTGTTCTATAGAAAAATGATCTTTCTATATATTTGGTCTATATTTAACTAACTATCTAGTTAACTATTGATATAGAATAGGAAACCGAAGCTCAGTAAAAAAAAAAAGAAAGCCTCTGTTCAATAGTATCTCCTATTTTTAGGATTGATTGATGATACTATTGTTTTGCAAAAGACAAGGAAGAAAAGGAAACTGTAATTGTTGTTGCCTAATGATGATACTGTTATATAATAAAACAAAAAGAGTAAGCAGACATCATATGTTTCTATGGTTTTCTCTTCTTTTTTTTCTGAATGTCGTCGATAGCCAAAACCTTTAAGCAATATCGCCAATCAACGTTTAAGGGATTACTACTATGTCTCGTTATGTTCCATTACATACATTTATCCTTGAAAGTTTGTCTTGTCATCGAGTTGACGATATACATCCATGATTCTATTAGCCGGATGAAAAAATAATATATGATATAACAAATAAAATTAAAATAGAAAGTAAGAAATTCACGTTTTTATTTTATCTATAGATTTGAATGATCATAATAATGATGAAAATACAAAAATAGTCGTCGTTTGCTCCTAAACTAGAATAGATAATGGCTGATGAACAAATGATGGGTGCTGAAGCTGATGACATTCAGTTTATACGCACGGTAATTTAAGTTTTATTCTCATTGAAATAATCTATGAAAATAAAAATCAATCGCTTTTTTAGGAAGATCATATTTGTTTAAGTTGTGTGCCTGCATCAGCAATAAAACGTATGGCACTGTCAGGTGACGCATTTGGAAATCGAATGTGCTTCCTTGAAGATATTTCGAATGAAGTAAGAAATTTTATTTTATCCAATAGAAAGAAAGCAGACGACACCTTTTTTTTTCTTCTATTAGGTGTGTTGTCCTGATTTGGCATCGTGTGTTTTTGCGCTTGAACAAGCTGTATCGGTACGAGCTTTACAAGAAATGGTTAACACAACTTCAACTGAACAAGTAAAATAATTGTTGAGAAAGAAAACATGTGTTTTTGCTTTTGCTTTTGTTTCGGTTCCTTCAGTCATCAGCTAATCAAGGTGGACAAACGTATCGCACATTATTATATGGTCATGCTGTTCTTCTTCGACATTATCGTAGTCAAATGGTATCTACTAGTTTTAAATTTAGTAACGCTAACGCTTTATTTTAAAAACAAAAACTATATTCTAGTACTTGAGCTGTTTATCAACAAGTACGTCAAATGACAAGCTTGCTTTTGATGTAGGCTTAAAAGAAGATGCGCAGGGTATGAGCAGATTGCGAAATGAAAAATCGAATGGAATGAATTGGTTTCGGTTGTTCTAGGCGAATCTTGTTGGTGGACTATTCATCCAGCATCAAAACAAAGAAGTGAAGGCGAAAAAGTGCGCTTTAATGATGACGTTATTTTGGTGTCGGTGTTTTCTGAACGTTATCTTGTAAGCAATTTTACTTGGAAAAAAAGGAAAAATATAAAATGAACACTACTATAGCATGCCTATATGTCATCGAGCGAACGTGGCCGAGTCAATGCATCATTTCGTCAACAAGTATGGAGTCTTGTACCAATATCTAGTGGTGTAGCACGTGTTAAAAATCCAGGTTTGAGAAAAGATTATTTAACATAGAAGAATCAAAAAAAACTTTTTTAATTTGAAAATCAGGTTTTGTTATTGGTGGTGATGTTTTACGATTAACACATGGTAATATGGATCATTGTATTACCACGCCGCCACCATCAGACTCTCAAGCAGTTGACGATTCTGGAAGGTAATAGATAAATTCGTTTCACAGACAGAAAAAAAAAATGTTATCAATGCGAGAATTTGGTTTATGATCATGTTTTCTACGGAGTGACGGAAAAAATCTCGCAATGCTATACGTAGAAATTTAACGATAAATCAAAATATTCATCCGTGGTCTGCTAATGCTACTCCTTGCTTGCTTCCATTGACTAGGAGCACAACATCTGTAGAGTTTTCCGTACATGCAGGCCAACATAATTAGACGAGATTTTTTCCGGCCTCATACTGACACTAGATTGTACTCAAGTTTCACTCGAATACGAATGCGATGCGAAGCTCGAATCGGATCTTCACGAAGAATCTTCAATTCAGAGAAATCTTGAATACTTTTTATGTCGACATGATGACATTCATCACTGAGAAAACTTTATTCATACTTAGCGATACATTCTTAAGGGTCGATTTCGATTGATCGTTTAAGTATCTCCATGATTCATTATCTTAGATCAACTGTAAATGAATAGACTATAGTGGGTAACGTATGTTCATGACGTCACTGTAATTATCTCGCAACAAATTTCTTTCATTTTCGTCATTTTGGAACCACATTTGTGAGTGAACAGAGTATCAAATTAAAGCATAGAAATAAATGAGGAAACATCGGATTCGCATCCGATTGTTATGCGCACTGCAAAAATTAAGTCGATTTATATATGTTGTGAATAATTGTAAGAAAAAAAATTTTCTTTTGAAAAAGCCCCTGTACCCCCCCCCCCCCCGCGCTCTCAGGGATGGTCTGGTCAATACTGACAATTTTTTCGATAACTCAGCCATTTCTTAACGGATCCTTCTCATCTTCGAACTCGATTGAGATGTTGATGAGATCATTCTGTATACAAAATTTCATGACAATCGGATGAGGCTTTCAAAGGTTATCGTGTTAACGACCGGCCGAACACACTGACCGAACCTAGTGTACTCACTTTTTTTGAGTACACAAAAATATGTCAGAAGTTCGATCTTGATACTTTCATATCCCGTTTCAATAAGTTTTCTATGATTTTCGGCACTCGAGATCATCGGGTCACAAAATGATGAAAAAGATGCGTACGTCGAAAAAGCAAAAGAAAACACGCGACGGACTACATAAATGCTATGTTTAGCATCGTATTAAGAGAGATAGCGATGAAATCAGACACCAATTTTTGTAGCCTCAAGACATTTGATTTTGAAGTGAACTCGATTTTCGTTTTATACTTTTGTTAAAAAATTGTTCTTTTAGAAATTTGTTATTTCAATAAAAGCGAGGTAGGCGTTAGGCTTTATTTGTTTTTATAGAACTAACGTGCTTTATTTTTGCATCTGCTCCTCTTGATAGAATTCCTTGGGGTATATTCTGTGATATGTATTATGCATTCTCAATACAGGGCGTTTTTGCGATCACTAGTTAAATTGCCCTTAGCTTGAATGGATATGAAAACTAGACTATAGATTGATTCTCTAAGAAAACAACAAATAAGTTGAATTCAGAAGAGAAAAATTGATTCAATAAAACAATCGATGTTCGTTTCTATTCCAGTTTATTCATCAAAGGTGGTGCTGCTTGTCATCAAGCTCGATCATTATGGCGTGTTGAATGTTTTAAAACAAAGTAGGATAAATCTAATAAAAATTAAATCATCATGTGTAATTTTTATATTCTTTTCGTAGATGGTACAGTGGTTTTGTTGGTTGGTGTTCATTAATTCGCCTTCGTCATATTACATCCGGTCTTTATTTAGCTGTTATTACTGATGAATCTGGTAAGAGAATTCTATCGGCAAGATTTACTTTTCGTTTTAATCGTTTGAAATTTAATTTCAGGTCCAAAAGTGACTTGCATATCGAAGAAGAATGCAAGTCCTATCGCCGTAACATTCGAAATGAAAATGTCAAAAGTAAGTTAAAAAATGGAAATAAAATAAAATATTTACAATAAAAAAAAAAAACCATTAGGAAAAACAAGTAGAAGAAAATCAAGAAGAAGATAATTTAGGTGTACCGACAATAAAATATGGTGAAACAATTGTTTTTATACGTCACGTTGATTCTGACCTGTGGATTAGTTATGAAACACTTGAATTGACAATAAAAGGAATTGGCAAAGTTGAAGAAAAACGAGTAAAAACATTCGTAAAAAAAAACTGATTACTCTTTATAATTGTTTTTACATTAGATTATCCCAGCTATTGAAGGTCATATGGACGATTGTTTTCGACTTGTTCGAGCTCAAGAAGAGGAACAAAAAACAGCATTAGTCATTCGCGTATGCGATGCTATTCTCGGAAGATTCAGTAGAACTGAGTGAGTAACACAAACAAAAAATAGAATTCGTATTGTTTTATTTTTCATAATTTTTATTTTTCAGTTCAATGCCAATTGAAGCCGAAGCCACAAATCATTTGCTCAGTAAAAGCGATGTTATACAAGCACTACTATATGATTTAATTGGCTTTTTTTCTCAACCATCGCCCTCACTTGATCACGAAGAGAAGCAACTTCGTCTTAAAGTATTAAAAAATCGACAAGATTTATTTCAAGAAGAAGTATGAAATTTTAAGAATCTCGAATTCTATTGTTACTGATTGAGAATTCTTTTTTTTTTCGTTCAAAGGGAATGATTCGCATATTAATTGCGGCAATAAATTTCTTTAGTGAACGTCGTGATAAATCAACACTATTAGAAGGTGTTGAAGAAAAAATTGAAGATATTACAAATAAACTTTATGTCGTTTTGGCCGCGTTAATCAAAGGTAATCGTGTTAATTGCTCAAATTTTGCTCAAACAGCTCGACTCAACTGGCTTGTTAATCGTCTACAATCACAACACGCATCGGGCGGCGTTCTAGAAGTACTTCATAGTGTACTTGTCGACAGTCCCGAAGTATTAAATATGATTACAGAATCACATATTCTTTCAAGTAAATATGCAAAAACAAATGAATATTAAATTTTACAACTATTAATGCTCTTGAATTTCAGTTATTGGATTGCTTGATAGAAATGGCCGAGATCCAAAAGTACTCGATGTTCTTTGTTCACTTTGTGTTAATAATGGTGTAGCTGTTCGGGCTAATCAAAATCTTATTTGTGGCAATCTTTTACAACGGCAAGATCTTCTTTTACACACAGCATTAGTTGATCATGTTACTTGGTAAGAGCGAAAAAAGTGAAGATTATTTTTTCCCCGGTTATTTATAGACCTTCAGAGATGAGTAGCTGCGTAAAACATGAATTTCAATATCGAGGTTTCGGTTTTGATGAACATAGTAAAATGCAAATGTACAACCGATGTTTATTTCACTTGAGTTAATTTGTATGCAGTTGAATTTAGCCGACATGATCATAGTATTCGTTTTGTTGAATTTCATCGTATATGGAATTCTATTTTTGCAATTAAATTCTTATTTCAAAAAAAGCTGTTAGCGCAATCCCTGCGAGATTAAAAATGTGAAGCACGATATGTCCAGTTAGACTAACATCTGGGAAGCCTGCCTGCAACGGTCTGTGACGGAGAAATCAACTGTTGGTAGCGACCTGTGACACCCTGGATCTCTGCCTGTGACGGCTAGTGAATGATTTACTAGTGAAATATTTTTAAGATTTTGCGTTAATTAATTAATTAGTTAGTTTTTCCGTAACGCTCTGTGGGATGGGGGTGCAGACTTCTACCCTAAACACTTCAACACTCCTTTCGGGTCGTGTTTCACAAATGAGCGAACAGAATGTGAATGCATACACCTCGATCTTATTTTAATATCTATTTAGCATGCGTCCAAATATTGTCGTTGGAGTTGAAGATGGCGAATCTATGTATAAAAAATGGTACTTCGAAGTTGTTATTGATCATATAGAACAAGTGACTCATGTTCAACCACATATTCGTGTCGGTTGGGCAACAACACAATTTCAATCATCGCCTGGTCATGGCGATGGATTTTCGTCGAATGGTATTGGCGATAATACATATTCGTATGGTTTCGATGGTCAAAACATTTGGTTTGCTGGACGAGCCAATAACGTATCGAATGATGCACAACAAACTGTATTTCAGAAAAATGATGTTATCGGATGTTTATTAGATTTAGATATACCGGAAATGTGGTTTTCATTAAACGGTCGCCCGGTTCGAGGCATCGTTAGAGAATTTAATTTAACTGGTATGTTTTATCCAGCGATATCGTTATCATCTCGTGTCAGGTACGATAAATATAAATTTTCGTGTCTAATTCAAACTTATTTCGAATTTATTTTTAGCTGTCGATTTATATTCGGCGGCGAGCACGGCCGTTTTATTCATCGGCCACCTGAAGGCGTAGCGCCTCTCTATGAAGCTATGTTAATAAAGCAAAAAGTTTCTATTGATCCATGTTTTTCATTTGGTAATATTGAACGAAACCGTCTCGATGGACCATCACCAATTCAACATAATATTGCATTCACACCACAGCCCGTACGAACGAGTCATATTGTTTTACCACCCTATTTGGACAGTGTGTGCGATCGATTGACTGTTAATTCTCATGAACTATGGTGTATGAATAAAATCGCTAATGGTTGGCGATTTGCCGAAGTAAATTTTTTATTTTGGAATAAATTTAAAATAGATGCTCTTCGAATTTTTTAAGTGTCGAGATGATGCTCAAAAGATAAGTCCATGTCTAACATCGTTCGATAATCTTCCACCAGAAGACAAACAACATAATGCAACCACAACAATAGAAAATTTAAAAAGTTTATTAGCATATGGCTATCACATTGGAATGGAAGTAAAAACCGACGATCGTCGATTAAAATATATTAAATTATCGGCTACATATACACAATCGAATGGCTATAGACCTCAACCATTAGATTTATCAAACGTTGTTCTATCAGCAAAAATGGATGAATTAGTCGAATTATTGGCTGAAAATACGCATAATGTTTGGGCAGCGGGTAGAATTAAAGATGGATTTACTTATGGTATATCAGATGTAAGCTCATTTGGAAATACCAATGAAAGTCACTTACAGTGGACGGGAACAGAATTCGGTTTAGCTGGAAGAAATTTATTGGTATTTGTAGCAAGATAAAATCACTGAACTTTTAATTGAGATTTGTTCTTATAAGCAGTTCTAATGACTCGTGAGCAAAGCTTCAATTTGAAAGAAGCTGCCTTTGTTGTTTAATAGAATCTTTAAAAATCTAATAGACACAGATAACAAATATTAGATTTACTTGAAAATTTAAGATATTCATCACCGTGTACGCAAGTGTGCAAAGTGAAGTTTTACGAATTTGAGAAGAGTTATTTCTCCGAAAAGGCTGAAAGTTAAAAGTTTTAATAATTCTGTCGTTCAAAACAAAATTCATGAGAAATACAATTAATTAAATCTTCAGTGTTATTATCAGTAAAACCCTTGAGCTACATGGCCATCGAAGTCGATCATGATGAACGATTATAGACTTGATTTTACTTCTAATGAAACCTTCTTGTAAACCAACTATGAGCTGAAGCAACAGATTACAATTTGTTTGCAAACTCTCATACTTCTTCTCTTTTATAGAATCCACACAACAAGCGAAGTCCGTATTTACTTCCATATTCAATCATTGATGATAGTATTAAAAAAATCAATCGCGATACAGCAAGCGAGATTGTTAAAACTCTTCTTGCTGTTGGCTATACGATTGATGCGCCAACAGGCGACATTGAAGATCTTAATCGACGTAGTAAAGATGTTAAACCTACTGAACCTATGTCAAATTATCGAACATATCGTGCCGAACAAACATTTGCTGTAACACGTGGCAAATGGTACTATGAAGTTGAATTATTAACACCGGGTCGAATGTTAGTCGGATGGGCACATGCATCAAAACTCGGCTCATTTTATCCGCTCGGTTCGGATTCGTACGGATATGCGTTTGATGGTTTAAATGCACGACGTTGCCATCATAATTCATTTGATAGATTTGGAAAAAAATGGACAAAAAACGATGTTGTTGGTTGTATGATTGATTTGCACGATAAAACAATTAGTTTTTCATTAAATGGCGAATTAATGTTAGATAATTTTGGTAGTGAAACAGCTTTTGATGGGCTTGAACTGGACGATGTTGGTTTTGTACCAGCAATCACATCATTCAGTGGACAAAGAGCTCGATTAAATTTTGGACAAGACTATAATACATTAAAATATTTTACATCATGTGGTTTACAAGAAGGATATGAACCATTTTGTGTGTAAGTTTTAAGCAGATATCTCATGGGAAAAGGTTTACATAAAAACAAAATGACATTTTTCTAGAAACATGTCGCGAAATTTAACATTTTGGTATTCGAATTTTATTCCTCGTTTTCAACCAATCAAATCAGACTCATCATCTTGGGGAGTTACTCGTACCGGTGCAAGGTATGAAACATAATGAATAAGTTTATCTCCTAGCTAACGCATACATGCATGTTGGGTACATTCTTTGTAAGGTTACTTTGTACCGAATGTTGATCAGACAGACGTAAAAGGTCTTGTCACTGTTACTTTCACGAAACGAAGACTTATGATGAATGGCATCTAATTTATGTACGCATCGACCTTGTATCCATTAGAACATAGAACTATTCTGCCTAAGCGATTTATATTAAAAACAAAAAAACAATTTTTTATTTTAAGTAAATATCTCCGAAAACGTATATTTCTATTGGTTATAATACCTGTATATCAACAAAGTTGGCTCACAGAAGTTTTCAGTGATCTGATGTTAGACTTGTTTTGATTGATTGTTGAGACATTTTCTTTTGCCAATTCATTCTATTGAATATTTATATTTGTGGCTATCTTTTCGTATGAGTTAAAAAGAATGTTTGATTTCAAGGGTAGTTTCTGGCCAAGTTTATGCCACGAGTAATGGAGTAATTATAAAATTGTGCTTTTCTAAACGACAGCAGATTGTCTCTTTTCCACGTCAATAGCTACAGTTGTTAAAAATGTTGATATACTCGACTGAAATCAATAACACGGGAGACTGGAATGCAACACAACATAATTATATATTCATTGATCCGCAAAATTCTATCTACCCTCGGCCATGAAGTTCTAAAGAAAATCTAATATTATCAATTAAAATTCTATTTACACAAAAAAAAAACGTCTAGATCACCTTGTGTCTCTATGTTGTTCATAATCACCAATGTTGAATATTTTCGAGCTATTCCTTTTTACTAATCAATATGCATTTTATTTTTAAATCTAGTCGTGATAGTCCACCAATAATTAAACTTGAATCTCGATTATTTGGTACATTAGAAAAGGTCGAACTTGAATTTCTTCGCCTATCATTGCCTCTAGCATGTCATGATAAATTTTCATCGAGGTAATTTTCATTTTTATCTTTCAAAAAAGAGCAAAAACCTTTCATTTCAAATTTAAGACATGCCACTCTTGAACGTCGTCAACGTGCATTAAATGAATATGCTGAAGCTCATGGCGATAAAAATGTATTTCTTTTTCCATCAAAGGCTGGTTCACCGAATCCAACGGGCCAAGTAGAAACTTCAGTAGATACTAAATCTCAATCTGATCAAGCCAATGAACTTGTAAAAAGCCTCGATCAACCAGCATCGAAGAAAACGTCAGGACAAAAAGATAGCAAGTCAAATGCCAAGCCATCAAAGAAAAAAGGTAACTTTTTTCAATCGCTATTAAAAGAAGAACAACAAGTACCACGATATCAACAACCTAATAGACGTACTGGCAACTCAATCACTGATCCAACGACAGTAACTGTACATCTCCCACAGCCAACATTAAAACCAACAGCAAGACAAACAAATAATGTACCAAGAAGCTCTCTTAATGAAAATGATCTTGAATTTTCCGACCAACAAACAAATGATTTAGTCGATGATATACGTATTACTAATGAACATGTTCATGAATATTATTATGCTGTAAGAATTTTACCTGGTCAAAATCCACGTTCAGTATTTATCGGTTGGGTTACATCACGATATCGGCCTATGAGTCGGCCCGATGACACAGCCACAAATAAATTATTGAAACTTGTTCGAAATTGTACGATAACGCAAACTAGAGACAATGGATCAATTATTGATAGCGTTCGACGACAAGACGGTTATATGTGTTGTGCAGGTGATCTATTAGACAATATGCCTGATAAAGAAAATGTTGCTAGACGTGTTGCTAATGGCTTACTAATTGGATGTTTATGTGATGTGTCAACTGGTATTTTAATATTTTATGTTAACGGACGAGAGTCAACGCAAAAATTTCAAGTATGTTATTAGCTTGAATTTAAAACAAAACTGTCCTATTCCCCGAGGTTCGATCTTGCAAATTATATTTCGGTAGAAGGTCATTTGTCTATTATAAAAATCCAGGTGAATGAGCCCGACGGAAAGTTCATATTTTATTATTAGGAGTCGGTGCTAGGGGCCAAGCAGAGCCATGAGATGGGTCCCATCAGACTACTGTCGGAATGTTTCTTCTAAGAATAAGAGTTTTGTTTTTAGGTTTCCGCTGATTTTTTGATAGAAATATTTAATCTATATTTAGGTTGAACCAAGCACAAAGCTTTATCCAGCTGTATTTGTCGAACCAACAGTTAAAGAAGGCATACAAATTGAATTAGGCCGCATCAAAGTATGAATAAATAAATAAAGACAAGAAAATCAAAAATTGACTTTGAATATTTTTGTTTTAGAATTGTTTACCATTATCAGCTGCTCTATTTCCAAGTTTAAATCGTGAAGAAAGATTTATTCCTAAATTACCACCTCGTTTACATTTACAATCACTTGTTCATTGTCATTGGTCACGTGTACCAAATGCAAATATTCGTTGTCAACAATTAAAATTATCCGATACTCGTGGATGGAGTGTATTTGTTGAAGATGCTGGTAAAAATATCTATGTTTTGTAATCATATTGAATAAACAGAATTGTCTTGTTTTTCTTCTTAGTTCAAATGGAAGCTGTTTATATTCCGGAAGATGATCAATGTACTGATATTTTAAGTTTAGTTGAAAATGAAGATAATTTAAAGTAATAATTTTCTTCTTAACAAAGCTCTGCATAATTTTCTTATTTTCCTATTTAGTTTTTGCTCGAATACATTAAGATTATATACTGCTCTATGTGCTCAAGGTAATAATCGTGTATCACATGAAATATGCAAATACGTGGATGAAAAACAATTGATGTACTGCGTAAGAAATGCTTGTAAGTTCAGTATTTGTTTTGACTGTTCTATTGAACCGTTGTGCTTTTTACTCTTAAGATCTATGCGGATCTATTCGCATTGGTATTTATAATTTACTTGTTGCTTTACATTTTGAATCACATATCAAAGCAAGGTAATTCAATGCGATATTTAGTAGTTGTTTCTTTTTTTTTATAAAAGTTTTATTTTGAAATTTATCATAGATGTTTAACTTCAACAGAATTTATTATTCCTCTATCAGATTCACTTCAAACGAATCGTTTATTGCATCCGCACAATTCAATCGAACACAAGCACGCATTGGCAACATCAACATTTATACCAGCTATGGAACAATTTATGGCTGTACGACCTAAATTAATTAAAGAAGAAGAGTAAGTGAATACTAGTTGGCGTCTTAGAGCGTTCTCAAAACTGCGTTCAAAGAGAATACTCTCTTGTCGAGTGATTCAGTTTCGACTAAAATTGCGGCCACGATCATTTCCCATACAAAACGAATCTCACTATTAGCTAATAAAGAAAAAAAATTATTTGAAAGTATAGAATAGTTCTTTCATTTTGTGTACTCAAAAAGTGAGTACACTCTAGAATCGGCCAGTGTGTCCGTCCGGCCGTCCGTAGGCACGATAACTTTCGAAAGGAGAGCCAGATCGTGATGAAATTTTCCACACAGTTCAAGATCATGAATATCTCGGTCGAATTCGAAGATGACAAGGACCCCTCAAGAAATGGTTGAGTTATCGAAAAAATTGTCATTTTTGATCAGACCATCCCTGAGGAGGGCTACAGGGATTTTTCTCAGAATTATTCACAACATATATAAATCGACTCAGTTTTTAACACTGATTCCGAATCTTATATTAGTTTTGAACTAAATCGTAGCTTTCTAACGAAACATCGCCTGAAAAACGTGTCAAAATGCAGAAAAACTGCATCCGAAAATCAAATTGCCTAGGTTCTCATGATAATTTTGGTGTTCAGACATTCTAGAATGACTCATATGTCTCATGCACCTGTTGCAGTACACATAACTCTCGGATGAAATCCGAAGTTTCCACATTTTTTTACTTAGTAATGTGACCTATTTTATAAATCTTTTTTTTCCATTGTCTAGCTTTAAAGTTGAACGTGAACGAAAATTACTTGTTCCACCTCCATTCAATGTTTTAAATCTCAAAGAATATATCATGAGTTCTTTAACTGATGCTATTGAAAAAAGTTCCCGTCATCTACGTGATCCAGCCGGTGGAACATACGCAAATTGGCTTGTGTGAATATTCAATTCCATATTTCATATTGTGATTTTTTTTTCTTCATAATTTTACCTTTTTGTTTAGACCATTACTTCAACTGGTTGATGCACTTCTTGTCATGGGAACACTCGGTAAAAATATTCCTAAATGTTATTTTGTTTTTAATCGGAAGACTTTCTTTTTTATATTGCAGAAGTAAATGACATTCAACAATTATTACGTTTAATCGATCCAACATCATTTGGCTTTGAGAATGAAGAAAGTTTTAATGAAGGTTTACTTCAAATGACATTAGACGAGCCCGTTAAACTTCAACTGTGCCATATTTTACAACATTTATGTGATTATCAATTACAATATCGTATCGAAAGTATTATTGCATTTTCAGAAGATTTTGTTGGAAAATTACAAGCAGTAAGTTTCGTTTCGTTTCAAAATTCATGTAGGAAAACAAATATGTTTATAGGATCAAAAACGACGATATCAAGTTTTAAAAGAATTAAGTTTGCCACCCGCAATCATGGCACGAAAAACCCGAGAATTCCGTTGTCCACCGAAAGATCAAGTAAAACAAATGATTTTTAGTTTTTGAAGTAAAACTAGCTGAATTTCTTTTTATTAGATGCACGCATTAATCAATTTTAAAGATGATTTAGCTGATTTTACGCTTTTCAATGAAGATATTGAAGACGAAATAAAAGATATGCTAAAAGATTTTCACTCAACTTTAATCATTATACAGCAAATTGTCCAGGTCGGTTATGAAGAGAGAGAGAGAGAGAAAAGAACAGTTGTGTTTATTGAATGTTGTTTTTTTTCCAATAGACGAATTATGTCACCGGTGGACAATCCGATATTAAAGATATGGATAAAACTGAACAAATTTCATTATTTTCACGTTTACTTGAAATTCTCATACGACATGCCGTCAACAAGAAAAATGAAGAAATTGTACATGTTGAGAAACAAATGTTTCCTAAATCAGGAAGTAAGTTTCAGATGATGGATTGATAAAAAAGAAAGTAAAATTTTGTGTTTTTAAAGAAACTCTTAGTGAAGTAATTAAAGAAGCCGTTACTCAATGGGGACGATCAACAAATATTAGTGACCATAATTTAACTCGAGAAATGTTTAAATTGATTTACAATCAATATGATGGTGTTCAACAGGTAAAATTTCTTGCTCTAAACAAAAATCTTCGTACTGTTTAAAAACTAAAACGACACTTCATTCGAGTTTAATGAATAGTTCAGATATTTTGTTTTTGTATTCGAGATCTAATGTCGAGAAAATTATGTTTTCAACTAGATCTCTCGATGCCTCGAACGAACTTATGTCATAAATGAAAAATCTGTTCCTGACATAACACTACTATTACGTAAATTAAGCATAATTCGTGCTCTCTTAACTGTTCAAATGGATTCAGATGAAGAAGCAATAATGATATCTTGTTTAAAGTAACTATTTGGTTTGTCAAAATAAAAAATTGATATTTTATCTACAATTCTCTAGTGACATAATGGACAATCGAGTATTCTATCAACATCCGGATCTAATGCGTTCGCTTTGCGTACATGAAACGGTCATGGCTATTATGGTTAATCGTTTAAATAAAAGCAAACAAGAACAAACATCAATGTCATCGATGAGTGATCTCGATGGTATTACGCAAGCAAACGAAGGTGGAGAAAACCAAGATAGCCATTCGCCTAAAGTAAAAACAAAACAGCTAAATAGAATATTTCAGAATGCGGTTCTATTTTCAGGAAGATAAAGTTGAATTGGTAACAACATGTTGCAAATTTCTATCATACTTTTGTCGTACATCACGTCATAATCAACGAGCTATGTTTGAACATTTGAGTTATCTATTAGAAAATAGTTCGATGTTGCTTTGTATGAAATCTCGAAATTCTAAGCAATGAAAGCTCTATTAGATTCTTTTGTTTTTAGCTCGGCCGTCACTTCGCGGTTCAGCACCGCTGGACGTTGCCAGTGCTAGTGTGATGGACAATAATGAATTAGCATTGGCTTTACGTGAATCACATTTAGAAAAAATAGCTTCGTATTTGTCACGTTGTGGTACAACAAGAAACGAAGAATTATTTGTACAAGGTTATCATGATATTGGTTGGGATCCAGTCGATGGAGAACGGTTTGTTTGGTTGTGTTTTCATTAAAATTATTTTGCTTTTATTTATTAGATTTCTTGATTTTCTTAAATTTTGCGTGTGGGTCAATGGTAAGATTGGCTATGCGTTTTTTCTTGAAATTCGAACTCTATAATTATTGTTTTCAGGTGATACGGTCGAAGAAAATGCGGATTTGGTTGTACGGTTACTTATTCGTCGACCCGATTGTTTAGGTCCAGCATTGAGAGGCGAAGGTGGAGGTTTACTTAAGGCAATAAAAGAAGGTATTGCGCAATCGCTTTATATTGCCCGACGACAAAATCCGGACGATCCTGTTATACAAGCTGCTTATCAAGAAATAATCGATGATGAAAGCATGCATAATTTAAATGAAGAATAGTACGTTAGATCGTTTCTGTCAGAGAGCGAGCTACTATTTTAACACCTAGAAATCCATATATTTTCATCAGTTGAGGCCGTATTTATTGTCTATCAGAATGGTTCGTTAGAAAAATATTTAATTTGATATTCTTCGAACAAGAACTATTCATCTAGCCACTATTTTTCATATTTTTTAATCATTTTGCAATTCATGAATGATGATTTACTATTTGTTTAATTCTACTTTTAGTGATCATCTTCAAGTTCGTTTACCATATACTGATGATGAAGAATATATCGATTTGGGTGCTGCTGAACTATCATTTTATGCTATTCTCGTCGAATTATTAGGTCGATGTGCACCGTCAGAAGAAACGATTAATATGGGAAAGCCAAATGCCATCCGAGCGAAATCAATTCTTAAAAGTCTTGTTTCCATGCATGATCTGGAAGGTGTTCTTTGCCTGAAATTTCTTCTGTCAAGTAAATAAAATATTTTTCTTATCGTAAAATATTTTATTTTATCCATTCAAGCTGAAAATTCAATGCCGCCTGGTCTTCAACCGGCTCATAAAATGTCAATTGTACTCTTTCTTGAACGTGTCTACGGGATTCCAGATCAAGAAACATTCTTTCGTCTCATTGAAGAAGCATTTCTTCCCGATATTCGCTGTGCTACTATTCTCGATATGGTAACTAAATATTTTCTATTTTGTTGCTAAATAAAATCATAATCTTTTAAAAACTAGGCAGCCGTATCGGAAAGTGATTTAGCATTGGCATTAAATCGTTATCTGTGTAATAGTGTTATACCATTAATGACATCACACGCACATTACTTTGAAGATTGTGATCATCGATCATCACTTCTCGAATCTATATTACATACTATTTATCGTTTATCAAAATGTCGTTCATTAACTAAAAATCAACTTGATAGTGTTTGTGAATTTTTACTCGCATTTGCAAGGTATACGTTTCAACGCGAAGTAAAGAAAAGTATGAAATATTCTTATCTGATTTAGCACATTAAAACCGTCAATGATGACGCCATTGTTAAGAAAACTTGTTCATGATGTACCAGCCTTAACAGATCAAACTATAGTACCATTGCGAGTATGCATTAATAGGGTCGACCGTGGGAGAATGTTTTTAAAGAGTAACTTTTGTTTAGATGCTTACACAATGGTATGAACACTGCAGTCGATATTATACAATTTCTGCTACAGAAGAAGAGAAACGTTTAACGATGATGCTGTTTCAAAAAATTTTCGATGCACTTGCATCTCGAGTATGTATTTAAATCCCATGCCGCACATTTTTTGTCACTACCACCGGTATACCGCGGTACTCATAATGACCGGCGGTAGCGCTTGTAAGCTCCGGTCTCAGCTAAAAGGCTTTCAGAAATCGTTTTTTGTCAAATCCCTATTTATTTCGGAAAACGAATTGAAAACAAAACTATTTTAGAATATATTTTGCGAATTATTATTTTTATAGCGACATCTTTAATAAAATATTTATCTCACAAATGGGACTGATTTGAGATCTGTGGCTACTACAGGCGGCTCAGACACATCGACATTTTCAGATTGCAACGAATTCAACACGATTCTGTGCCGGTTTTAACGGACTTAAAAAATATTCAGTCGTTTCTATACTATGCAAAAGGATGCATCGCTTCCATGAAGAACCGGCGGCTTTTTTCCGGTTTGAATCACACGGGATAATAGAATAGTTTTACTTTGTCTCAGAAGACTCTGCCTATTAACAAGAGAGCCATTTGAAAAAAACATAGGAGCTGTAATGTTCTACAGTACAAGGGAAGATGAAAAAAATATTTCAAGCATATCATTGCGGCAACAGAATAGATACTTGATCGCTTTATTAGATAAAAATGTGTTGCTTTCATTTTAGGCTTATGATCCTGAATTGTTTGGTAAAGCACTTCCATGTTTAACAGGTAAGTGTGACTTGTTTGCTTGAAAACAATATGCATGTATGCTTTGGTATTGATAGCCATTGGTAGTGCTTTGCCACCGGATTATGCTTATTCAATAACTCGACAAGATTATTTGAATGATGAACGAGAAAAAGTTGAAATGTCTCGTAGTTATGAACCCAGTCCAGCTAATATATCAAGGTTTGTTAGAATTACAAGAAAAAAAAGCTCAGGAAAATCAAGTGACCAAATTTATAATTTTAGCGTTGTATTGAGTCCGGCATTGGAAGAGTTTGTTAAAGCTTATGCTGAAAGTGTTCATGATCAATGGTCATATGCTAAAGTAAATGCATTATAGATTTACTTCAAAATTTTCTTATTTGCATTCAGATCGAACAAGGTTGGATGTATGGTGAACAAATCAATGATAAATACCGTCTACATCCCAACTTAAAACCATATAAATCTCTTGATCGAAAGGTAAAACAGATTTCGTCTTTTATGCATTCTCTTTGCTTTTGTTTGACTGGAAAATATTTAATTTAGGCTGTTGCTAAACTTGAAGAACCTGCTCGGGATGCATTGAAATCTATTGAAAAAATACAATTTCATTTAGAAAAAACTGACACTGGTGTAACACGTATTGCTACTAAACCATTACAACTTAAAAAACAAAAAGTAAAATTTAGCCGAATGAGCAAAAATAGATAAACAAAATAAATTTTTGTTTTGTTGTAAAGGATCAAAATGCACCAGATTATACACCAAAAGCAATGGACTTCAATAGTGTAACAATGAATCGAGATATGCAGGTAAAAATCTATAGAAATATTCACTTCAATGGAAATAGACTTTTCAGCGCAACCCTAAAATACTATTTTCTTCGATTTAATAAACCGTATGATAATCAGATTTTGTTCGAATCGCTATTGATGTTGAATTCATTGAGGATTTATTCCACGCTTTCGCTAGTTTTATTCTATTCTAAAGGCTCAAAGTCACGTGAAAGATGGCATATTTCGGAAATTTCTTTTTAGGATTTATCTGAAGCTTTAGCTCGCAATGCTCATGAAATTTGGGCAAAACATTTGAAAGATGGTCTTGCTGCAATAGGTAATCATTTTGATATAGATTTATTTCGTCTATTTTACTTTTGACATATTATTTAGGCGGCGGCCTTCATTCTCGTCTTGTTCCATATGAATTATTAACTGATAAAGAAAAACAAAAGGATTTGAAATTCTATCAAGACCTGGTTAAATATCTGAGTATATTTGGATATCGGGTTGTCAAGTAAAATCAAACTGAATTTGATGTATTCTCTCTATGTTTGCTTTACTTTAGAAATACCCAAGAAAAAGATGCAGCTAATTCAAATTTGTCGTTACGTGTTGCTTCGGTGACATCATTAGGAAATGAAAAGCGTTTTGCATATAGTTTATTAGAAAAATTACTTGAATATCTTGATCGTGCATCCGCAACAATGCACAATTATAAACAAAGTTCGAAATATTCATTGCATGAAACTTATCTTTTAGCAACGAAAGACGTGAAATTTTTCGGAAAAGTAAATCTGTGAAAAAATAGAAATTACAATATTAAAATTTTCCACATAAATAATTTCTAGGTTGTTTTACCACTTATTGAAAAATATTTTCGATCGCATAGAAATTATTTTATTATGCCATCATCATTAAAAACTGGTATGGGCAATGCTTCGGTCAAAGAAAAAGAAATGAGCTGTAGTTTATTTTGTAAATTGGCATTTTTACTTCGACAAAAATTTAGTGCATTTGGCAATGATGTTAGTATTACAGTTCGTTGCTTGAAAGTGCTCGTACGAGCTATTGATGTTAGGTATGTGCAAAACTCGACCTAATGTGATTATATTTTAACAGAAGAAAGAAACTCTTTTTAGCTCCGTAATGAAAAACAGTCAAGAAATGGTCCGCGCGTCATTGTTGCCTTTATTTAATAATATTGCTGAAGATCTTAATCAAACTGTGCAAAATCTTGAACAGAAACGTTATAGTAATATAAAGGGAACATTACAACGTGGAACAACTAGTCTGGCGTATATGCATATGGTTCTTTTGCCTATGCTCTCATCATTACTTGATCATTTGGGAAAAAATCATTACGGTGTCGATGTATTCGGTATGAAATTTTGAGTTCTATTAAACAACCGATTAGTTGTGTTTGCACGGCCATCGATGACATTTTGCATCAGTTTTAATTTTGACACGAAAGAAAAACGTAACTGATATTTCTTTTTATAGAAAATGAAATTCAATTGGCCGGCTATAAAATTCTAAATGCTCTGTGGATTATTGGAACAAAAGGACGAACATTTGTCGATCGGTAACTATCGATTTATGAAATTCATAAGACACCGTAAATAATATTTCGTCCGTTTAAAGTGAATGGATTATTGAAGAACTAAATCGTCATCGGCCATTGCTCGGCGATTGTCTAAGTTCCTTCGCAGCATGTTTTCCTATCGCATTCTTTGAACCTGAATTTAATGGAAATAACAAACATGGATCCGATGTTTCACAATTATCACCGGAAGCGCATGGTAAAATAAATTCTATACTTGATAATAAAAAAAAACACGCAGAAAATTTTTTATTTCGATTTCAAATAGATGTGATGACAAATATTTCAAGGACAATCCCTCAATTAACAAATTTAATAGCAGATATTGAAGAACATGCAGAGGCACGAGTGCCCTATGAAGATGCTCCGTATGTTGTTGAAGTTATTCTTCCGTGTATTTGTTCTTATATATCATGTTGGTGGTCATTGGGGCCAGAAAAGGTTAAACAATCAACTGAGTATGAGCGGCATTTTATTTATTTTTATTGTCGGTTCTTGACTTCGTTTTTTGTTGCATTAGACCAAAGGTAACAAATGTCACAGCAAGTCACATGAATTCGGTGTTAGCAAGTGTGTTAAAATTAATTAATAATAATGTTGATGCTGTTGAAGCTCCATGGATGAAACGTATTGCAGGTAAAATATTATTATCGAGGAATAAATTAATTCAATATCTTTACGGTTGCAGACATTTTATATAAAGATATTATGACTAGATTATAAGTTTCTCACAGAATGTAGAGTGATCATAAATCATCACTCTTGTTGAACTATAGAGCAATCAAGATCCATTTTTAAAGTTCGCCCTGATTACTGAGATTTGAATTAGAAAAGAGAAGTTTTGTTTCCGATCAGAATTCAAATTACATACTATTCGCTCTTAATCATAAACAGGACTCTGCATGTACGAGCCCATAAGAGAATATTCTACGCTATCCTTACCGTTTATCCGTGGTTCTTTGTAACCCTTATGCATTCATATGATTTTGTTTTAGTGTATACTCAATCAATTATTTTCAATTCCTCACCAAATCTCATTGAACTCAGCTTTTTACCTGTATCAGAACGTTTAAAAATAAAGGCCGATGATTTATATTCACAAGAACAATCATTAAAAAATGCAACACGCTTAGAATCGTCTGAACGTGAAGATCTTGAGTCAACTCTAATGAAGGTAAAATAAACAAAAATTAATTTCCTTGAACAACACTTTTCTTCTTTCTTGATATCAGGGTTATGAAATTCTTGTTCGTGATATTTACGCCTTCGAACCATTGTTAATAAAATATGTCGATATCCATCGATCACATTGGCTTAAACACAGTGATATACATGCTGCAAATTTATATAATAATATGGCTGAAGTATTTTCAGTTTGGTGTAGATCAAAAGTAAATCAAGAGAAAAGACGAAAACGAATAATTCATTTGAATTCTCTTTAGTATTTGAAACGCGAAGAATTAAATTTTGTAACTACAAACAATATTGATAATACGAGCATGTTGATGCCAAGTGGAACAAACCAAACACCCGATGCGCTTTTAATGAAAGGTTCACATGATCTTAGTGGAAAACAAAAACGAAAAAAACGTCGAGTTGATAAAGACAAGTTTACATCATTAAATGTTGCCTGTATTAAACGTTTATTGACTATTGGAATGAATACATTCGGTGGACGAGAACAAGAACTTGTTCAATTAGCTAAACATAAAATGATTGAAGTAATTAGATAATTCTGTTTGTTTCTTTTTGAGCTTGAAGAATATTTCATTATGAATTTCTGATATCTTTACGGCACATCGATCATATTTTGAGTTATCGATCACTTGTTCATTTCTGGTTTCGCGAATAATTAAAAATGAACTCCTAATAGAGAAAATTTTTGTCGAATGCTTACATGATATTTATCTTTTGTTTTCATTCGATAGATGAAAATCGAATACGATGGCAAAAATGAAATTCCAGCAGATGAACAAACAATTATCGATCTAACAGTTTGTTATCTCATTATTTATTTGCCCTTAATTATATTCATACTTTTTTTTTCTATAGGCTGATCAGGAAGAAATCGTAGAACAATTTCTGGGAGAAAGCTTCCGTGCTCAAGAACAGGCACGCTTCATATATATTTTCTTTGTTTCTATAATCTGATTGCTTTGTACATTTCATAGGGCGAACTGATTAATAAGAATAATTGGCAAAGTGCATTATATCGAAAGATTGGATCGAAATTGCAAAATAGCGGTACAACTCATTCTCAAGAAACATCAATAGAGCATATGTTAAAAATGGCGAAAGTTCTATTTGGTTTAAATTTTGTCGATCATCCTACAGCACATCGACGTGACACATGGCGAAAACTTGTTTCATCTCAACGCAAACGAGCTATTATGGCTTGTTTCCGCATGGCACCTCTACATTCTGTAGCCCGGCATCGAGCTATGAATATGTTTCTACGTGGCTATCGAGACGTGTGGTTAGACGCTGAAGAAGACATACGTGCACAATTGATTAAAGACCTTTGTGTAAGTTATTCGTACGAGTTGATTATTTTATTTGGATTAAAAATTATTAAAGGATGATCCGAATGAAGTTAATGAACCAGTTGCAACGCCAATGGGCGAAGAGGCAGAAGCCGACGCTGAAAATTTAGCATTAACTGCAGCAACTAAACCAGATCCATTAAAACAATTATTACAATGTTTAAATCGTGTCGCAACGACGGCTCAAGTTTTTTCAATTACTGAAGATATTGTTTATTCATCTTATTCAGCAATCATGAGCAAAGTAAGATTGAGAGATAAAAAAAAGCTGTATAGCGTGACCGAAAAATATTCGATGAAGACTTCGTTTTTCAGCTGCTAGAATTTGCTTTCTTGATATTCGAATATGTAAAGCATCAATGCCGGTAGAGATTCTACTGCGATGAACACAATCGAGATTTCAGATTGATCGACGGTAAACACGCATTTTAAAGGCTGCAGAACTAAGGATTTTTGTTTTTGCGAAAATCATATGCCCAGAAAAGCTTGCCATTACTTAGACAACTATTTTACTTTTGTTTTTAAGAGTTGTGTTATTGCTGAAGACGATGATGATGGAGGAGCAGAAGAAGTCAAATCATTTCAGGTAAACTAAAAATCTTTTTCTTCTTCTTCAATATTCGATAATTAATAATTTTGTTTTTTAACCTATCAATTCCTATGTTTTGTTTTATGTCTATTAAGGAACAAGAAATGGAAAAGCAAAAATTACTCTACGAACAAAATCGATTGGCAAATCGTGGTGCTGCTGAAACTGTTCTATTGTACATAAGTGCAAGCAAAGGTATGTTTATCAAATTTTCTTTTTCTAATGCTTATAAATGAAAAATTTTAGGTGAAAATAATGAAATGCTTCGACGAACATTACAACTTGGCATATCATTATTACATGGTGGTAATCGAGAAGTTCAAAAAGTAAAGTTGAATCAAACTTTTACGATTATTTATGGTCTCGATCTATTTTTCTCTCTAGCGGATGTTAAACTACTTAAAAGAAACAAAAGATGTTGGATGTTTTACTTCATTAGCAACACTCATGGCTAATTGTGGTGTACTCGATCTTGATACACATGAACGTTGTATTAAAGCAGAAGTACTTGGTATGTAGTTGAGATGATCGACTAAGATTATATAAAAACTTGTCGTGCTTTTAGGTGTTGGGTCCGAAGGAATGGCCGGAGAAAAAAATTTACATGATGCTGATTTTATAATATCGTTATTCCGTTTCTGTCAGCTATTATGCGAAGGACATAATCTTGAATTTCAAAATTATCTTCGTTTACAAGCTGGAAGCAGTACGAATGTGAATATTATCATTTGTACGGTTGATTATTTACTTCGTCTACAAGTAATAAATAGCGCTAATCAAGAAAAAAAAAACACCTTTTTGAGAGTGTTCTCTTTTTTATTATTTAGGAATCGATCATGGATTTCTATTGGCATTATTCTGGCAAAGAAACGGTTGATGCACATGGAAAAGAAAATCTCTGTCGAGCTATTAGTGTTGCTAAACAAGTTTTTAATACTTTGACGGAATATATTCAGGTTAGATATTTTATTGGAAAAAAATCATTGTCTTTCAAACGACATGACGAAGGTATACGCACTCAAGTCTTGTGCGTGCGTGTGACCAATTTGATAGGAGTAGCACCGTGCACGATATCCGATGTGAATAGATACCTTCTCAGATTCTCTGTATCACTTGAGAGTTTGTTGTGATGTAGATCTAATGATTTTGAGATTATTTAAAAAGAATAATTGCTGTTCTCTTGAATAAATAAGTTTATGTCTTGCGTAAAACAATTCTTCATGTTTTGTTTTCTTGAATGGCCGTATGTCTAAGTCGTTTTCATCGACAGGACTCGACTATTTCCTAGAAATCGATTACTTTCTATCCTATATGAGTAATCATCATCATCTTCTTGTTTTTACATATTTTTTATCGTCTAGGGCCCATGTCCACAAAATCAATTGGCACTGGCAAACAGTCGTTTGTGGGATGCAATCGCTGGATTTCTCTATATTTTTGCACATTTACAAAGAAAACTATCTCAAGTAAAACGAACTTATAATCATAGTTATTTTTCACGATTACTTTCATCATTTAGGATCCAACTCAAATTGAATTATTACGTGAACTAATGAAACTACAAAAAGATATGATTATTATGCTATTGTCTATGCTTGAAGGTATGTCGAAAAAGCGAATTCGTTTAATAATATTTAATCTTTTTTTCTTCTTCATTGCCAACCAGGAAATGTTCTCAATGGACCAAGTGAGTTTTTTTTCTTTCTATTGTGAAAAACGTGACAGTCAATGTATTTATTTTAGTTGGTAAACAAATGGTTGACAGTTTAATTGAATCTCAAGTCAATGTTGAATTATTATTACAATTTTTCGATATATTCCTTAAGATAAAAGATTTAACAACATCGGAAGCGTTTCAAGAATTCGATGCCAACAGAGATGGATTTATTTCACCGAAAGAATTTCGTCGAGCTATGGAAGCACAAAAAATCTATTCAAGGTAAAAAAATGAAATAGAAATACAAGCAAATAATTATTCACCATTTAATTTCTAGTCAAGATATGGATTATATCTTAAATTGTGTTGATATAAATCAAGATGGAAAAATTGATTTTATCGAATTTACCGGACGCTTTCACAATCCCGCTCGAGATATTGGTTTTAATATGGCTGTTTTATTAACGAATTTATCCGAACATATGCCACATGATCTACGTTTACTACGTTTAATGGATAAAGCTAAAAGTTTTCTATCGTACTTTCAAGATCATCTCGGTAGAATTGAAATTAAAGGTGGCGCTGGTTATATTGAACGAGTCTATTTCGAAATCAATGAGTCTAACATTGAACAATGGAATAAACCACATATCAAAGTTTGTTTCATTAGAAATTAATTAGAGCGATCGTAGTTCAACTACTATTAAATTTTTATTTTAGGAATCGAAAAAAGCATTTTTACATTTAGTGGTTAACGAAGCAGATGATAAAGAAAAACTAGAACAATTTATTAACTTTTGTGAAGATACCATTTTTGAAGTAAGATTTTACAAATTTTCAAACGATGTTTAAACATGCCCTTCTATGATATTCGAAAGAGAAAAAAATCCCAAACCAAAAAATCAACTTATAAATGAGTCCATAGGAGTTTTTGTTTTCAATAGAAATTCTCTCGAAAAAAATGAATAATATCATATCGTCTAATTTAGATGCAGCACGCCGTTGCTATCAGTGGCGAAGAAGACGACCAAACGAGTCACGGAGAGAGATCGTCGAGTTCTGAATCTAGTGCTGCTCAACAAACACCATCGCAACCTTTGAAAGTAGCTGCTTCATACGCATGGACGAGTATTAAATATCTATTTAATTTACTTCGTCCGGCAACACTTACTGACGCTTATCATCGGGTTCGACAAATGACATTTAAAGATATGATTAGAAATCTATTTTTGCTACTTATCAAATGTATACAATTATTATTAGTCATGATGGTTTGCATTTTCAAGTATGTAATCTAAAGCATGAACTGATTGCGCCAAAAAAATCTAAATATCGAATAGGCATCAGTAGGTGATCGCTGTTTTCAGAAAGTGACATAATAAACTTGAAGAACCAGAGCGTCGGAATGCTGGTTTTCAAAAATACAAATAGAAATTTTCATAGAAAACGAAGTTCATAGCTTCATAAAACTAAAATCAATATTTTTTTTTTATAATAAAACAAACAAATGTCATGTTTATGTAATTAGAACAATAACATATTGTCTTTGGACTTTGATGGCGGAAGACGAACCAAAAGAGGCATCAATACCGGAACGAACTTCTGTGCCATTACAAGCTAAGCGGCATGATTATCGTCTACGTATGCTTTAAATTCCGTCTTGAAGAAAAGTCGAATATAAATTCCTATTTTCTGTTTTTAGCTTCGATTAGTATGTCACCGAAAGGTTTTGCAGACAGTGAAGACTTAGTACCAGTGAGTGCTTTTGGAGTTGATATCAATCTAGATTCAGAACCAAAATATAGGTAAGCATGGAGCATTATTTCTTCTTTAAACTTTTGTATACGATCAACATCATTATAGAATGTCTTTAACTGCTGAACAAATCAGGCAACTTAGTTTGGATAGTACTCGATCATTAGATTCACAACACAAATCTTCACTTATGGCAAATGGGGATTCGGCTGTAAGCCAGTCTTTAACTACAACAACGGTTGCGGTGCCTTTTAAATCACAGACAACTACGGCAATCAATGGAATCGAAAAATTGAAAAGTGCACTTGAAGTACATATATATTTTTCTTCGTTAATTTTTTACTCGAACATTAATTTATTTTTCTAAATCTATTTATAGGGAAATACTCAAGTTGAACATCAACAAAAGAGAATCTCAAGTACTGTCAATGGTATGGCAGCCGAAGAGGACGATTCCACTCCTGCAGCGCCACCAGCAGGAACAGATTTTGGAAAGAAAGCTCTTGTAAATATACAAAACTTTATTAGATGCATTATACATATGATACGCTTAGAACCATCGAACTATGATTTAAGAAATCATCTTTTGAGATTGTATCTTGATAATTTCTCTTACCAGAGGCTAATCTATTCGATTTAGGCTTTTTTTAACCTGCACACGAATCAAGTATTCCATAGCGGCTATGTTTACCAGCATTGCATCCTAGAACCCTTCTACTAAGCTATGAGCATCAGAAAAGTAGTATTTTGGTGACCTTAATTTGCCGAGAATTATAATTCTCTACTGTAATATTATATATATGTGATTATTTGTAAAATAGGCATTGATGGCAAGAAATTATCATACATTGAAACTTGTGGCTCTTTGTCTGGCTTTTCTAATCAATTTTCTTCTGTTATTTTATAAGGTGAAATTGGTTTTCTATGTGATTGATAAATTAATGTGCATTTTGTTTTTCAGGCAATCCCAATAGCGACCGCATTTACTGATTCAGGGTCGCTCGAACAAATTGAAGATGGTGACGATGGTGACGATGATGACAATGAAATAATAGTTATGGATCCAAAGAACCATTATTTAATTTATTTACTGCGATTAGCTGCATTTTTACATTCATTATTTGCATTTCTAATGATGATTAGTTATTATAAATTAAAAGTAAAAATCAAGAAAATTCAACTCGTTTCTGTTTTCGTTATTACAATGACGGTTGTTTCTTTTTCAAATTCTAGGTACCATTAGTCATATTTAAACGAGAAAAAGAAATAGCTCGGAAATTAGAATTCGAAGGCGCGTGGTTAATCGATCAACCAAGTGAAAGTGGTTCGTGGATATTATCCTATTTATCACGTGAATGGCATAAACTTGTTATAAGTTCGAAATCATTTCCTGATTCTTATTGGGATAAATTCGTCAAGAAAAAAGTTCGAAATAAATATTCCGATCAATTTGATTATGACGAATTAACTCGATTTTTGGGCATGGAAAAAAATGATGCATCAGGAAAATTTGAAATCGTCAAACCAATTGAAACTGGTCTATGGGCAAAGTATATAAAGCATAAAAACTAATGAGCAATCACTTATATTCTATTAATTTAGAATTAAATCTATTGATATGCGTTATCAAGTTTGGAAATGGGGTGTTATTTTTACCGATAATGTAAGTTATGAGCACATAAACTAGAGAAAATAATTTCATGTAACTAACGAAAACGCTCTTAATTGAAAGAGGAATCTTTATGCATGGCAAATCATGTAGCGTACCTATCAGAGGTCCCAATGGGCGGAACGTTTTTCGGAAATTACTGTGAGAGAAGGACAGGTCGAAACATTTTGTCGACAAGATTCGACGAGATTATTGCTGTATTTTTTCATTGAAACGATATATTTTGACGTAAGAAGTTTCTATCACTACACCTGCTAGAGTTATTTTTCAAAACATTTTCGACCTCTGATGCAGTACGAATTGTCCAAACCTAAAAATAGATATACATAAAATCTGATGAAACGCTGAAAAATTCTAATTGTCTTTATATGTTTATGTTTTAGTCATTTCTCTACGTATTCTTCTACTTTTTATTTTCTGTCGTTGGTAATTTTGCATTTTTTGTCTATGCAATTCATTTACTTGATGTTGCAATAAGTATAAAATCGTTGAGTACAATATTAAAATCGATAACACACAATGGCCGACAAGTAAATATCGATTGCATCATTTTTTTCAAGAATAATTTTCTCATATTTTAGTTAATGTTAACAATCATGTTAATGACTGTTGTCGTTTATCTTTATACAGTGGTTGCATTTAATTTTTTTCGTAAATTTTATACGAAAGAAGAAGATGAAGAACGAGAAGAAAACTGCAAAGATATGCTTACTGTAAGTTTCAAAAACAAAAACAAGCAGAAAAATGCATTATTTTCATTTCTGAACAAAATTAGTTGATACCTTTGAAATAGTTCGTTTGTGCGGCATGTAACATAAAACATATTTTCAATATTTTAGCGGTAGATTAGTCACGTAGAGACGATTTATTCTCTTATATAATTATATATACGCTGAAAATATTATAAACAATAGTATCACATCGTAATAACTATTTCTACTTGATTCTAGTGTTTTAAATTTCATCTTTATTCGGGTATTCGAGCTGGTGGAGGTATTGGTGATGAACTCGAATCACCTAATGGTGATCCACTGGAACTATTTCGAATTATTTTTGATATAACATTCTTCTTCTTTATCATTGTTATACTTCTTGCTATTATTCAAGGTAAGATTGAATAGGCAAAAACAATGAATTTCTTTTTGGTACATATTGGAATGAAATTTTAGGTTTGATTATTGATGCATTTGGTGATCTACGTGAACAACTTGAATCAGTTAAAGAAACACTTGAAGTGATGCATAGCGATTTACATTTTTGTTTTTTATTATTTCATATTTTGATTTTTAGTCAAAATGTTTTATTTGCGGCATTGGTCAAGATTATTTTGATAAAGAACCACATGGATTTGAAGTAAGAATCACTGTTGTATAGCTATGTTAAAATAGCAGCAACGTCGATTTTTTTTTCTATTTCTTTCAGACTCATACACAAGCAGAACATAATTTTGCAAATTACATGTTCTTTTTAACACATCTTCTTAATAAACCTGATACAGAACATACGGGACAAGTGCGTTCTTCTTGCTATTTAATAAAACAGTTTTTTTGTTTGACCTATCTATCATTTTATTTAAATAGGAGAGTTATGTTTGGGAAATGTATCAGAGTCGTAAGTGGGATTTTTTCCCTATTGGTGATTGTTTTCGACGTCAATACGAAGGAGGTGGTAGTGGAACAACAGCGGAGAGTTAAACAAGATTTTTCTAGTCTTGTTTCTTTCATCGGTGATTGATTTAATGAATTTTTCACTTTATTTAGGTATCTTTTTTTGTTGCATTAATGCAAAACGTTCTATTCACAATTTGTATGGAGTTATTTTTTCCTTTTTTTAAATAAATTTTTCAATCGCTTTGAGTGTGATGAAAAAGAAAAGTTTCAGTTTGTTGATTAGAAAAAGTCTGAATGATAAACTTAATTTTAATAAAAAGAAAATTCGAATATTGAACAATATCATGTATGAAATTTCGAAAATTTTCCCTTTTCGAACTATTATCATTTCAACAACAACAACGATTTGATGCTTCAGATTTCTACTTGGATTTCATGCTTTGGACTCTAAAATTCTGAAAGTCTCGGAAGAAATGTTATGGAAACTTGATTTGTAGCTTTAAGATGGAACGTATCATACCAAATCTTTAGCCCATATCAGAAAGATGATGAATTTGACGAGTAAAGAAAAGTTGCCACTCACTAGAACAGAATCTATCATAGATGAAACTAGTAGGTCGACCAGTTCTACTCTTTCCACCTATGCAATCCACTTGTCGTCTCTAGACAATTATACATCTATGATAATTCTTTACGATTGAGGAAGGTTTTAGGTATTATTTCAATAAGGTTCTCTTGGATTTATTTTGATTTTAATATGTAAAATATATTTAATATCAATTTTACCCGCTTCGTCTACAAAGAAAATGTGACTTTTCCTGTGAACGGAGATTGGTTTTGAAAATAATTATTCCAAATTTGCCATCATTGAATAAAAACTCAGTCTTTTGCTATAACTATCTCTTCAGTTCATACAGTAGATTACAGAAAATCTGTTTCACTTGAGAAGAATAAATCCATTTAGCAGTATTTCGCTCCAAGTGTACTATAATTTTTTTTTATGAATGTGACACAACCGACAGGAGGCAATATATATCTTTCTTTTGTATAGATTAAAACATTGTTTTCAATATTACATATATATATATATATATATGTTATTTTTATAAATCTAACATGGATGTTTATGACTTACGATAAAATATAATAGAAGCTATCAACGGCGGCGGAACGATTTCAATCTAGGGGAGGCTCAAAAGTTTTTTCAGAGGATGAGGATTATGAGAGGTGAAATTAAAATTTTTTCAGAGGGTGTGGTTCTGTCTTATTCTACGCCCACACTCTCACCCTCAAGATTATGACTTCAGAATCATAAGACCGGTAGGATCATCGCATAATAATTTCATTGAGTAGGTTGCAACAGTGCCCGAACGTGGAACAGAATTATAAATTTTCCAATGCAATACAGGGAAACAATTTCTCAACAGGCATAATACAACTGAATTTTATATTTGAAGAAAAACCTCGTTTAATTGGATTCCATTGTCTCGATTGGAGAGATACTTCATTGAAATAAAATAATTCTTTGTTTTCTCTACTAAAAAGGAGAGTCATACGCTTAGCGAGCAAATTTCGTACGTTTGTATGTTCCTACGTCCGTAAAATAGAAAAGCAGATGCACAAAATTAACTAAATTCTCACAATATATCCAGGAATAAGTTTGACCGAAGGTTTTCGGAGTCGAGGAACTCGAATCTTGCATCAGGTTTTCGGAACTTCCTAGGGGATTTTTCTGTAAACAAAGATTATTGTTCTGAGATCCATAACAGTTTGAAGAGAAGAGCTCTCTGTCAAAATGAAACAAAGGGATCAGCAAGTGAAAAGCCCCTTAAAAGTATTTATAGTTGGCAGAAGGATATTTCAATGATTAGGATCCGTAATTAATCAACTTTTTGATTCCAGACAAAATAACTGGCTTAAGTTAGGTGTGTAATTAATCCTTTGTGATTTTCTTAGTTCGAACTAGTATACGATGAATTGACGAAATTCAGCTATTTAGATTTTCGGTTAATGACTTTGCGTAATGCACTCTCGCAAAAGTGTGCGCCTCAAGGTGCGACTCGATGATGCTGATCCTGATAGGTATATTATGCGTATATTTAAGGTATTATTAGTAATAAAAAATAGCAATCTTTTTTACACTTTGGTTTTTGGGGAAACGGCCAGCCGTGAGTGGCGCCCCATAGAAGCGCTGACGAACGGCTAGTCGCTCACCTGCCTATTTTGTTATTTCATTAATTTAGAAAACCTTAGCATAAATCAAGCTTGCTCTGTTGAAACATTATGCTCTCTTCATTACGAAATTCACGTTACAAGATAGAGGTTACAAAGTGTTCAAATAATTTTATTGTACATACTGTATATGCCGCGCAGAAGTTACAATTTTTGCCGAAGTTACTTTGCAATATTTTTTTAAGCATCCTTCATCAAAAAGTGAACAACTAAACAATATTCATAAATATATGTACAAAGTATTTATTGTGAATAATTTACAAATCATTTAAAAATAAGGAACTGTATTGAATTATCTCGTTGAGTTTCCTACTTATTTAGAGTACTTCAAATGTTCCATAGTACTGATACGGGCAAAAAAATTATGATATTATCAGTGATAAATTTAAATTAATAACACGTAAAAATTGACTCTTTCGTGACTAGGTGTTAGGCTTTTCATATATATATATATACTCAACTAAAGACAAGCCGGGCATGAGTCAATCTACACATGACTGTGGCATTGTATTGGTAATTATATTCAATTTTAATAACGTGTTTACGCCGTAAAGCTAACTATCAGATACGAAATGAAAGACAAATATAATTAAATGATCAGATTATGGATCATGGATAATTTCCATCGATTTAAAAGAAGGCTGTAAATTGACGAAAGCAAAAGTATATTCAAATAATTTCTATGACAGAGTATAATACACACAGTCTCACAAGTATAAATTTGAAATATGATTGCTACACCTGCATGATCACCTGTGGCTCACATGTTAAGTACTCTAAATGTGTAGGAAACTCAACGAGATAAATCAATAAAGTTCCTTATTTTTAAATGATTCGTAAATTATTCACAATAGATATTTTATACATATATTCATGAATATTTTTTACTTCAAAAACAGAAATTTCCCTATATGATTCAAGATGCTTAAAACAATATTGCAAAGTAACTTCGACAAAAAGTGTAACTTAGGCACGACGAATACATGTCATCATATCTCTACTAGCCAGTTTTTGTCAACAAATCCTCTTCATATAAGTTTTGTTAAGACGTATCTTCCGATGACAGGAAATGGCAAAATATTGTTAAGCTATGAAATTCTCTCTAAAAGAGAAATATCCCAGAGAATATCGCAATTATCGATGTATGGTTTTCTTTTTTTTGTCACAGGGGCGAATTTGTCCATGATACAGAAGCGTAAGGATGCGCAACACACTTAATAATTAAAACAAAGCACTAAAATACAAATATATATATATACATTTTGTAGAGAATTCTATTCTCTATAAACTTTTGTCTCTCAAATATGATTTCAGTCTGGTGCTGCTTCTAAAAGTTCAGAATAAAAATGTACCTATGGAAGAGAATAATCACAATTTGGAACCAATATCTCTGCTATATTATTATAATTGAAAATGAAGGGCATAATTCGATTCAGTTTTTTCTCCCCTGTCGAACGTCATTTTATCAAATTTGAAAAAAAGAGGGTTTTTTTAAAATCCTATGGGGCTCTTGGTATTTTGAAGTTTTTAAAGAGCTGTCAATATTATTTTTACTTTAAAAGCATATCAGTGCGTAGAGAACTGCTTTATCTATCGAAGGAGATATGATTCGAAATATTTTCATGCAAAATGAAGGTGTAGTGAAAAGAAGACTGAGAGCGTTCGAATAATGTTTTTGAGCAGAAAATCAACTCGTTTCTTGAAAAAAATGGGAAAATAGCCAAAAAGGTTTTTGAAAAGAGCTCTTTCTTTTCTAAATTGCAATTGAAAGTTTAGTCTGTCGAAGGATATAAAAAAAGTTGAGAATATATCCTTCCTTCGTCGCGAAATTTACTTTACAAGATAGGTGACAAAGTGTCCAAATAATTATTTCCCATACTGTATACACATTTACTGTTTGGAAGAAGTCGAACAGCAAAGTGTCGACTGGTTGATAAGCTACTTGAGATGTATAAGAACACAACAGAAAAACATTGCGAAGACTTTAATGACAGTGTATACATATCATCATATCTCTATTAGCTAGTTTCTGCCAAGAAATCCTCTTCATATAAGTTTCGTTAAGACGTATCTTCCGATGACAGGAAATGGCAAAATATTGTTAAGCTATGAAATTCTCTCTAAAAGAGAAATATCCCAGAGAATATCGCAATTATGCATGTATATAAAGGGTGGTACGATGTGGAATGTTTCATTATTCATTTTAGTGTGTTCGCTGTGTACAAGTACTTCAACATGAATATATTTGATACGAAAACAAAGTTCTCATATTATTCAGTATTGGTATTTCTGACATTGTCATTATTTAGCCAAGTGAATGGTCGAGTAACCGATGTAGATGGTAAGCTAAATAATTTTTTATTAAGCATATCTATACTATTTCAGATGAAATGATGTATTGGAACTGTTCGGTACAGCGAAAGTTAAGCAAGAATTTAGCTATGAAATACGTAGAAGTGTCTTCCTCACAGAACCAAGACTATCTACTGGGAGGGGTGCGCTTATATGTGACACACACAATGATTCTATTAATTTCAACCTGAATTTCATGTAAAAGAGCGACACTTGATTTTAAATTGAAGTGAGGGTCTTATGAATTAGATACTAGTACGTATAGATATGTAGATACGTTTTTTTGGATGGTCGAACTAGCCGATGTTTGAAGCGTTTTAAAATGATATGCTAGTTTAGTTATGTCTGTATAAAATTGAATGATCCTTCAGATTTCCAAAGACTTCCTAGTCCCACCATTCGAAGCAAATGCCCAACACAACTGTATTTACTAGTATGTAATTCTAAAGTCACCCTGGATATTCACTTCCGTTTTAAATCGAGTGTCGATTTTTTGTGAAATTCAAAATGAAATAAAAATGGACCATAGTCTGTAAGAATGATTCCCTCTATGAATCATTTTATTTTCCAAATCTGAAAGAATTTTAATACTATTGAAAAAGCCTCATGTCATCTATTTGCTCTTAAATTGTTCTCGACTTTGAATACAATTTAATATGATCTGAACAGTAAGTCAGAATTCAATAATAATAACCTGAGTTATTCATTGTCTTTTTTAAACTTTTCATCGGTACGATCGAAATAGTCACTTAGGGGATAGACAGACAGTGTGATATATTACGTTTAAGGGGATATATGGGGAAATTGCAAAGTTATTGTACCGTTTGAGAAAAAAATCGATGAAGAAAAGATTTCAGATTTTAGGGGTTACGGGTCCTGCATCTTAGTGTACTAGGTGAGACGAGAATATGTATCAATTTTTCCGACTACCACTCTTAAAGTGACCGAGCTGCAAGAGCTTTTGAAAAGTATACATGAAAAGCTCTCAAATTATTAGTGGCAGTATGATCATTTTTCATTTCCCGATATTTTTCAAAAACAATCAACATGGTGAGGATCAGCATTGAATTCTGAACAAAACTGGCTAGTTAATTTTGTGCGTAAGACAAAAAACATTTTTTGCTGTGGTATCCCTGAGTAACGAAAATTTTTGTTTTAAATTTTGGATCAAATTTAGATGATTGGTAGGTTATCGGCATTGCTGATCACGAATATGATATTCATTTTGCAAATGACCGTACAACTAGTAATATGATCATCTCGTGTGACAATTTTACAGCATTTTTTTTTGTACGAAAGAAAAACTTTCTGATCCTGATAAATTGTACATTGGTTAACCACAATGAGTGGATGAAACCCTGAAAGTTTCAGGTCAATCTGCCTTACTCTAAGAGAGGTACATGTCAAACAGAATAAAAGATCTTGCGTGACATTTTGTGTGATAATCGATTTTTTCGAGCTTTATTTTATATCTTTTGTTAATAAGAATTAGTAAAACTTCCTGATCGCCTTTGACGATTTTACCGCCCACTCATCGACTTTCATTCAACATCAATCCGATCCGTTTTCGATGCGTTGTTACGCATGAAAACTGTTTTTAATCTCGCGTGACAGGAAATTCAGGATTGACTGCATACATCTGATATTTTGGGGAAAAGGCGCATTGAGAAGTGTGATAGAGAAACCAGTCATTTTTATATTCAAAAAGTGCGTACAGGCTGCATACTATGATATCGCGAACTTCTGAGGTTCAAACGACCAATCGGTTATAGATTATTTTTTATCAATAGAAGGTCATAGCAATGCGTGGGATGTGAGGCGTCTGATGTTGGGGAAGTTGTGGGTATGATTATGGATGAGGATGTGCTAGTGACTGTTGTTGTGCGTTGATGTAGTTAAATTAAGTACCCAGACGAAAATCCACATCCTCAAATTATACTATATTCTACGCTGTTAGTAATCTCTTGTCTTACATCTCCTTCAAACTTTTACACACACATGCTTTGACCTACGCACTTCGCTCTTTCTCAGTATTTACCAAACCAATCGTAGAAACAGTGTTATCTCAGGCTATTTAAATACATTAAGCATCTGGAGTGCCATGCTTTCTCGTGCTGAAGATCCAGGTATATTCTATTATGAATTGATTGTAGCTACAATAAATAAAACCGGTAATTGCGTTATCACATGTAACATGAAAAACTTGTGACTTGCGCAACTATGCAGCTCGGGCTATTTGTACGTCAATCCTTTTGATTCGTCGAATCTTACATTTAATCATCACATATATCACTATAATTTTAAAGACAGTAAACGTAATCAATTTGTGATGTCGTTTGGTTTTGGGGTGGTAGAACTCACATTTTGATTTTCACACACTCCCATTCAATTTTGACAAAGCCTTTCTATATTCTTGTACTAGATACACCAGGTGTCTCACTTCCTCCAATGAATGCCACCTCTGTATCATCCTCAGCTACTACAGCCGCCATATTAACCACAACCGGTAAGTAGGATTCATTGGTGTTTGCGCCATTTCTTCAACTGATGATATATTAAATCAACGGATATTTTCCTCATCGTACAATATAGTTTTGAACTTAAAGAATGATGAAGATTTTCTATAACAATTAATAACGTTTTCTTAATCGAGCAGGGCAACAAATCAAGATGGATAGACTTCTACGATGAATAGAATGAACCTGTTAATAACAGTAATATAGCAGTGTTCAACATCTTTTGCATTACATGATAGTTGATTCTACAATCGTTGAGTATGTATAATAGAGAGTAATTAGTTAATATTAAATTTTCAATCGCTTTCGGAATCCTTTGAGTTAGAGAATGTCAAAGGCATGACTCGAATAATAAAACATTCCAGCAAAGTATGTCATGACTATAGGATTTGTAATAGCTGCTCAAAATAATATTATTAGCTGAAGAAATCTTATATTCGTAACAGGAACCGAGCATTGAACAAACTATTCTCTTTCAAATAGCTCCTCTAGCAAATGGCAAGAGTGTGGTTCGCATATCGCATTATTCTGGTGTACTAACCACGAGTAGCTCCACATTTACTAGAAATGGACGTTCAGGAACGTTCTATTTCGAAGCAATTGAAGTGACACCAAAACGAACGGGCAATTACACATTCACAAGTAACAGTACGATAGACAACTATGGATATTTGTACACGAACCCTTTCAATCCATTGAATACTACATCTAATCTTCTTACACATGCTGATGATAATGAGAATGAAACAAGTGATCAATTTTCACTGACATGCGCCCTTCAGGCAGATACAAGCTACACATTGGTTTTCACAACGTTTGATCCTGATCTGACAGGACCTTTCTCAATCTTTACACTGGGCCCATCAAGGATCTCCCTGCGTCGATTGAGTATCCTGTCAACATTTTCTATTGCTACTACCTTTAAAACACCAGCGATCACTGGTAAGTATGATGCGTTACAGTTCGTCCTATTTCTTTATATGACGATATCTTAAATCGATAGCCAATCTCCTCATCGTTCAATGTAGCTTTAAACTTCAGAAATTATTCAAAAGATTCTAGGGTATATGGTATGAATTTTTTTGCAAACGAGACAACAATCAAAACTAGCGCATATGTTGTAGTCCAACCTAACTCTGAATTTGAAGTTGATTATTAGAAAAGTAAATTACATCGATCTGCTGTGCTTCATAAAAAGAAATCTGAGAATCCAACTTAAGTTTCATGACAAAAATCGAGACTTGAACTCATGTTTTTACTCGGTTCAAATTTGGACAAGTTCAAAATCAGATTCTAGAATTGCCTTCGGCACAAGTATATATACAGTATATAAAAAATTTATTTTCTCGAGTTTTCAGCATACCATTCGATAGGCTGAAATCTCTTGAGGGTGTGGGTGTGAGTATGAGTAAATCTTCATTCCAGTCAGATCCACTCCTACATCCAGGCAGCCACAGGTAAATTTCTGTTTGAAGATTCTATGCTTTCAGTTCAGGAAAGAGCCTAGCAAAGACTTTGAGTCGATCCACAGATTACTTCATGATACACGAGACTTTGCGATCATGGGCTTATCCTACTACCTTTCGAAAATCTATCGCAATGATTCGCTGCCTTGATGTAATTCGAAGTAATTGCACACTGAAACGAATGCCAGTAATGCATACCTCGTGTATAATTTTATTAGTATCCATGCAAAGAAGATCTTTTTTGTTCAATAATCTCTTACACTCATGAGCGAAGCCGAGCATTAGAAAAATCTGTTTTTCTCAAAATAGTTGCATCGAATTACTCAAGTGCATTGGACATGAATAGTAGCATGTTTACTCGAAACGGACGCTCGGGAACCTTCTATTTCGAAGCAATTGCAGTAACGCCAAAACGAACGGGCAATTACACATTCAAAAGTTACAGTACGATCGATAGTTATGGTTATTTGTACACGAACCCTTTCGATCCATTGAATACTACATCTAATCTTCTTACCCATGCTGATGATAATGAGGATGGAACAAGTGATCAATTTTCACTGACATGCATCCTTCAGGCAGGCACAAGCTACACATTGATTTTTACAACATTTGATGCTGGTGTAACGGGACTTTTCTCAGTTGTTGCCGTGGGCCCAGGAAGAGTTTCTCTTCTCCGAAAAAATATCACACCAGTACCAGGTATGTATGATACAATAAAGTTCGTTCTATTTGTGGATCTGTTGATAGCTTTGAGCAATATTCACCGACATCACTGTGAAATTGAGATCTCACCGTCAAGGTTGTTGAACGCTTGATAAGGAATGTGATTAGAAAGTCCTTTTAGAACTACAGAACAATGGCGAGTGATAGACTTTTAGGATTGAGGGAGTACAGTAAACAGCGAGTACAATATAACAGTCTGAAATATCATTGGTCTTGCTCGGTCGCTTAGTGTGACATACCAATAAATTTTCAATAACTTCTGGTAATATACACGAAGAGAACCCAAACTCGAGTATGGGGCTCGGGTGCGGGCTCAAATTTTGGTTGTGATTAAGTATGAGAGTTGTCATTCAGGATTTTGCTCTCTTTTGAGCAGATATTGTAATTAAACAGTGATTTAGAAGGTAAAGCAAAACTAACACATTTAAAATATGTATGTTTGAGAAAATGAGGATTAAAGTACACACTTTAATCACGATCTAAAATAATTATCCTCTAGTTCACGTCAACTAACAGAAAGGAATCACGAATACAGAGCAGTTACATTACAACCAGGTAAATAAACATAACATGTCTTAAGTTAAGTACTTCATATTTGAAACAGTCTAAACCTAATTTTATTAGACATAGAATTATTATTAAAAGCTTTAATTATTTTTCAGAAGCTCATTTGTTACCAAATCACTAAATGTTTTACACATACCATTCTCTAGCACGTAAAATTTTCATTCACAGTCATTCGAATGGCTGGGGATAGAACCGAATATCCAAATACATTTTGCTTCATGGATTCATTCAGTTACCGAAACTTTTGTTCCCTATTCTTTTGAAAATGTTTGTATTGCGATAGCATTTAGTGTGTTGATTAAAAATATCATATGCTTCTCCAAGGCGCTCAGATAGGAAAAAAAATTTCAGGTGTTGTCTGAAACACTAAAAAATAGTTTTTCGTTTAAACAACCAGCAAGTTCCAATTTAGATTCGTCGAGAATAGATTCATTCAATACAGAATTGTGTTGTCTACCATAATCTATAAAAATGGTTTTCATATTCAAATATGTTTTATTGATAAATCCGAAATACTATTCCCACAGGATCTCATTGTTGCTGCATAAGGATTTTTCCAGTCTCAGGAAGTTACAGTTTCGATGGGTCCACCAGCAGAATTTTCTTATTAAACATGTCAATTCATGCATTGTGTCTTATGTTAAAATGTTCAAGTAGAAATTCAAGGGTTATAAAAGTAATTCTGTTCTCATCATTCAATTCGAGAGCCAACATTTGACTTTTTAATCAATATCCTATGACTTTCTAGTAGAAAAGAATTATTTGACTTCAAACAAAATGATATATTTTAAGTCAACACATAGCACTTAGTCGATTGATGAATCGTTCAATCTATGTTAACGGCACTTCATTTCCTAAGCTTTGCATCAGAGATATTTGGAATTGACTTCATCGCATGAACTATTGAAGTATCAAGAAAATTCTGCTTCTCTCTTCAAATGGCAGCTTAGAAGTTCGAAAGTGCGTTTCCAGTGTTTAAACCGCTCTTCGGTGAAGTCTATTTTCCATATATCTCTGAAGGGTACCGGGAGGCAAAACTTAGTCAGCGAAATGTCGTAGAAACAAGTTGGACGATGCATCAATCGACTAAATGTTATTTGTTGAGCTCAAATGTGGTAGTAGTTTCAAGTAAAACATTTTTTTCTACTTAAAAGTCATCGGATATTGATCAAAAGGTCACGCACTGTCTCTTCAGCTAAATGACGAGAGAGAATGACTTTTCTAGATCTCGAATATCTACTTGAAAATCGTGCTTATTCACCGTAGTGCTGCAACGGCTAACTGGAGATGATCGGTTCGATTCGGTCTAAGATTCCTTGCGACTGTTAGATACACCCTTTTATACACTAGCTAGCCTAATTGTTTTCCGCATTTTTGCGTATGTTTTTCAAAATATTCATTATAGTAGCGTTTATTGTTGCTTGTCAAACTAGATTTATGATATGAACAACTATTTTTATCCAGGAAGATGGATCACAGTATCTGTATTGAGTCAATACTCATAAAAAATACCTAATATATTTGCATCAAGTCGCTTCGATACTAGGCGAAACAAGCGGACTTCAGTACTTTCGAAGTACAAAAGTATGAAAAAGTATAAAAAGTACAGAAAAGCACGATGAGAGCTGTATAGGTACATGAATATGCATAGAAATTTCTTCAAATTTATTTGAAAGAAAAAATCTAATCATAACTATAAAACATTAAAAACGATTGCTATTGTATTTGCGACTTGGTTGAATGACTCGAGAGAGTCGACCATTTCATAAGCGCGTGTTTTTATCAGTTAATAACCAGCAAGCTAGTGAAGGCGGAGCCATTAGGGTTGGGTAGGCTCAAACTAGGACAGATAAAGGCTGGGATAGACACGAACCTAACATAGATTTAAGGAGATTAGATTTAGGCAAACTTCAAATAGGCACACCAAGGACTTGATAGGCTCGACAAAATATAAAAATTTTCTGCTAAGGCTTATTTTCATAGTTTTTCGACCAATGACCCACTCTAAGATTTTCAGTCCACATTTCAGCTACTTCTAACTTTGTTCAATGATATGTTTTTTGAATTTCATTGACATGTAATTAGATTGACGTTGAATTGTTTCTTCTTAGTATAGAACAATTGAATTTCTCTTTCCAATATTCTATTTAAAATAGCTCTTGAATTTTGTTCCTGCCTCAAAAACCAGGTAAATTGTAGAGATCAATCGTAGTTTACTCGAAAAATTGCCGGCTAGTGGCTGTAATAGAGCCAGTTAATGAATCAGTAAAATCATTGATGTTTGTCGGTTCTCACTACATTACTAAATATTTGAAAAAATTACTCCTTTCCTGTTGCGATGCCAGATAAACAAAATCAGACTTTATCTTTCTTTCATAATAAAGCACGAAGCCCATTAGTTTTCATGAAAGTTCATCTTCTAGTTTAATTCTATTTAACAATTCAAATGATACTAAAACTGAGTCAGGCTTATGAACAGAAATGTCATAGTTAAAGCGAATAAAAATTTCACTATCAACTTGATGAAACACCTGCACTGATTTTATTTAAAAAAATCTAAATAGGACACTTTTTTAGCTATTGAGCAGTTAATTTCTTGTTTGACTATTTTTCCTAATGCTTTTTTCAATAACACTTTTCAGTTAATTGGCTAGTTTTTGTGTTCTCGAGTGCAATCATACATTAGATACTTATTACGTTTATAAACAATCAAAATCTAGCCAGAAAATCGACAACTATCATCATTGTAGAAAAACAAAATACTTTTCAACTGGTTCACATTTATAAGTAAAAAAATAGGACTGGAATCAGATTGAAAAGAATAAAGCAATTTCTTATACTAATGAGGTTTTAATCACTTTTCAAACCGTTTTTATCAAAAACCACGTAAAAAAACCGAAATTTCATCGATTACGAAATACACACTGATTATATTCGATTAAGACTTGATAAAAACTAGAATGTAGCTGGTGCAAACTACGTTAAAACTTTTCATTGGTCATAGAACAGAAATTAAACTCTTATGACAATAATCAAATTTGAATCTTGTATTTTTACATCGACAGACATAATTTTCCCAAAAAGTGAGCTTACCATAGACTGGAATCATTCCGGCGTCTCTTTATCGGTGTGCTCAGGCGTTACTTAAAATAACTATTAAAAGTTGATATCAAAGCACTAATGTACTGTGTGATTGAAATTTTTGATCACGATCACGAATATTTCTATGTGATGATAAGAGGCACGAAACGTTTTTGGTCATTCGGTTGCAATATTTTCCCAACGTATTTCATTCGGTACATTTAATGCTAAGAGCAATTAACAGTCACAATCGATTGCTTTCATTTGTATTCTAGTGGAAAATCTTTGAACGCATAATAAATTTTAATAAATATTTGAGATTTTGAAATTATATGTTAAATTAGTGACCACGAAATCTTAATGTCGTTTACGATACGATACGATCAGAATTTTTTTTCTCAATAACGACTACGAACACGGTCATGGTCACGCAGTACACTACATAGCACTAGTACTACTATAAAGTAAAAGGGAAAAAATTAATTTAATACATTTTTGAAGTACAAAACAGTACTAAAAGTACGAAGAAGTAAAATAAGTACAGAAGTCCGCTTGTTCCCCCTTGCTTCGATATCAAGCTACCATATCAAAACAAAATAGAATGACTGTTTGCCATTGTAATTTGTTGCATAATCAATTCCATTTTGTATGAATTATACAATATCTTTTCGAGAGATAAAAGAGATACCAAACTAAACCTATTGAAAGAGGCAGTCTGGCCACAGTCGACTCAAAATTTCTTTTTCTGCTGAATATTACATTAGTATGGGAAACTATATAGAATCTGCAGTCCTCTGAAATTTTATGTTCATTGAGAGTTGCCAAAAGAGAGAAAAATCTATAGAAAAAAATAGTAAAAAGCAAGCTTTCAGTGTATTCCCAATAGAACTAAAGTATCAAACGCAATGAAATTACTGTAACTATTTCGAGAAGTCAATGAGGAAATCTTGTCGTCTAAATGACAGACTATTACAAGATCAAAACGCTGCATATCGAAAAGGTCGCCAAGTCGCTTCAGGCATCAAAATCTCTGTTTTTGCGTTGAAGTAGAATCGGCATCTTTGCAAAGATTTCCGTAGCACGCGAGGAAGATGAGAGCAAATGGCTCGTCGTGTACTCCAATCGAGAAAGAAACAGCTGACGTATCGATTGTGAATCTTCGAAAAGTTATAAAGTCTTGTGCAGTCTCTTAACGTCTTGAAGTCCACTGTTTTCTCTTCGACTTCAACAATCATTCATAATCATTCTTTAAAACAAGCACTGTAATAGTCATACTAAAGTTTTATAAATGAAATCTACTGTGATTAAGAGCTAGTATGACTGATATCAGTCTCCTGTTTTTGACCAGTATCAGTATCTGTCAGGAAATGTCCTACCGGATTCACCACTGATGCATCCGTAGATACAATAACTTCGTGAGACCGGAAAAATCATTATATGGAACAAAGCAACCCAACTGGGGTGATATCTGATATTTATAGCCATCAGAGGGGAGCTTCGCGTTTAAAAGTTTGACTCTCTTAACGGCAATTCCCTCTCATACTTAACACAAAATCCAGGATAATTTTTAAAGAGATGATCAATATATCTACTTTAATTTTTATTCTCCAAAAGTTAAAGTTATAAAATGTGTCAGTTTAACTTTAACTTTTAGATCTATGCTTAATTACAATAACGAGTGAGCAGAATAAATGGTCACGCTTCGCATCCTATATTTTTAATCACGTATTCCATCTTATTTAAAAAACAAAATATAGCAGAAGATGCAACGTGACCATTTATTCTGCCCCGCCCGTTATTTACTTAAAAGCGAGTAAAGACTGAGCTCGCGCATGAACTCGAATCTGGACTTGCCGAACCTGAACGTTCTAGTTCAATGCATACCTAATTGGGGTGATTGAGGGGGCGGGGATGCCAGGATATGAAAGTGATGGATATTATAATGAAACACGTTGCCGTGATGTTAATGCAAAAAAGAATCTTCTATGCATAATACACTCTCACACTTATAGCTGGAACCAAATGTTGAACAAAAGTTTTTTCTTTTAATTAGTCATCGCGTCCAATTACTCTGGTGCATTAAACAATAATAGTCCCACGTTTAGTCGGGATGGAACTTCAGACATCTGGTATTATGAAGCAATTCAGGCAATCCCAAAAAGAACAGGAAATTACACATTCAAAAGTTACAGTGCAATAGATAGCTATGGTTATCTGTATGCAAATCCGTTCGATCCATTGAATATTGCATCTAACCTTCTTGCAAGTTCGGATGATGATGAAACTGGTATAGATGACCAATTTTCCATGTCATACCCACTTGAAGCAGGTGCAAATTACAATTTGATTTTCACAACGTTCGATCGTAGTCTCACAGGGCGTTTCTTTATTGTTGTGTCCGGTCCAGCAAGAGTCATTCTTCGTTCCATGAATACTACTCTCAAACAATCCTCAACTACTACAAGCACCACAGTGGCATCACGATGTAAGTATTATAGACTAAAAATCTCTGCATGCTTTATTTTAAGAGTTCTTAGAAAGTCAGGAGCCAAAACATACCTGAAATATCCACACTGTGGTTTATGGTACACATTTTTTTCATTGGCAGCTGCACTGTAAACAATAAGGTTTTATGAATTTGCAACTGGACATAAACTCTTTTGTTCGGTTTTGAAATACATGATACCTTTTTCCAAGCTATAAACGGAAAAAGCGTTTATTATCTTCGTCATATATAGAGAAAAAGAGTTTGTGTCCCGCTGCAAACTCGTGAACTCATTGTTTGTTTAAAACTCTATCAAAAACATTTTCCCGTTTATTATTCTACGGATTTGTTTTCAGTGCAGCAACACATAGGGTGAGTGATTTTTTTTCTTTGAGAAATATTGTTCCTGAGACTCGGGAGAAGCCAAACATTACAGGCATCATCAAAAATTGGTTAAAAGGAATTCTTTTCGGGTCGTATCAGTGTTGGTAAAATGTACCACACCTCGTAGTTGCATCTTTTTCCAGAGAACAAAAAATACGCACCACAATTTGAGAGAAATGGTCATTAAAAAGTTTGAGCCGAATGGACCGTGCCGCATAGGAACAAGGGAGGAGGAAGAGAAAACTTGAATTTCTAGTTTTTAACTCTGGTTCTGAGAAAAATCCGTAGGAAATTGCAGCTTTTTTCCTCTTTTTAGTCTGATATTTACTTTTCTTTCGAGGATTTTACATACAAAAAGGTGCTTTTGTCTTGCTAAATGTGGGGTGTGTTAGTGTCCGGTGGATGTGGATATAACTCTTTCTTTGATTCAACGCTCACACCCACACCCATCCAAAGTTTCCCAGTTCATTTTGGTAAAAATTCTCTGAAATATATGGGGATTATCTTCTTGTTTTATGACTGGAACAAATGACAAGTAACGTTCATCGAATTCCGATTCACTCGCTCCTAGACTAAAAGGCGATGAAATGTAATGTGACCAGATATGAAAATGAGCCTATCAAAGGGTACATCTCTGAATGAAATCAAAAGATGTGTTACAAGAGAAAAGCCGAGTGTTTTTAAACTTCATAAATAGAAATCGTTCAAAATAAAAGCAATTTATAGTTCAGAAGTCAGAACTACAAAGCACAGAAATAGAAATATCTAAAAGTTGTAACTAAAAAAAAACGAAATAATATTCATCGAATGCATATTTACTTTACCGTAGACTGCTAATCGCTGCTAATGTTGAATATGTTTGAAGGACCAAAGAACTGGAGATTTTGAAACAAGAAATTTAAAAAGAACGAATTACTAAACTTTCGTAGCTCTATTTTTGGTACTGATGGTACTCGCGGAAACCATGAAGTTTTTCTACCGTTCATAGTTAGGATATCATTAAGTGACCAACTGAAAAGGAAATTAGATTTAAAGACGGAGATGTTTCGTCTTTATGTTAGAACAGGTTAAAATGTTAGCCAACGTCCATCTTATATACAGTACAAAAGTTATTCTTCATCCAAAATATCATCTAAAGAGTATAAGCAGCTCAAATCGGGCCGAGGCGTAGCATTGTTTTGTAAAGAGGTCTGGCAACCACGGCACAACACTATCAATCCAGTTGTCGTATCGATCTCACATCGTCCTAGCAGTGCTCCATTCACGAAACAACGAAACCAGAGCAAGTTTCTAACATTCGCCAAACATAGTCTATTTTGAGTTAGAAAACGCTTCAAAACAGCATCTGATATCTCTTCGCTTTGAGGTCGAAGAAGATGCAGGTTGGGAAACGATCTGATAGTTAGTTATGACCAATTTCAAGTCAGAATTTTATAGCCCCATACAGCGCAATTTCCGTTAGTTGCCATATTTTAATTCTTTTTTACACGTGTTTTCGCCTTATGAGTCGAAAAGAAAGGAGTGCTTGATAGAAAAAACAAAGAAACTATGAGTCTTACCGATGTTGATCACGATCACGCTCTAATCTAGTATTTCGCCCACATCAGCCTTGTGCACTCGTAAGTTGTGTCGGCCACTTATTTCTTTCGCACGTTTGACTGTAAGATGTTCTTCTCTTTCCTTTGCTTTTTCTTTTGCACGTTTATCGGGCAGACATTTCGCCTCGTATTGACTACGAGATATAAGATACGTTTAATTCTTTGCATCTGTCTGTTGACACTAAAATCGATCAATCGCCGCTTTCTCTATTGCCTGTCAACAGCCAGGCGACTCTCTTTTTGTTCAGCAGTCTTAATGAGAGCACGATGGACACGAAAAGCTCGCATTCGGTTGGTAAAAGTCAACAAGCGGATATCCATTTCCATATAATTGTGAATGTTACTGGAAGAATTAAGATCGGCGGACGACGAGTTGGCACCATTATTTCGTGATAATATTGTATTCAAGTAGACAAACTCAAATAAAATTAAACTATTTATGATGAGATACTCGAGAGTGAAATTAAGAAAAAAGCGCAATAAAACACGAAAACTAAAATCAGATCACGGAAGGCTGATATTTAAAAAACAGAAGAAGTTTACGATATTTTTAAAAATTAACTAGAAAAAATGGCAAAAAATAGAATCGAACACGTAGCTAGAAAATCCGCCAGAAGGTCGAATTTACGTCGAAGACTGGATCAAAATACACAAACAACCTCTGCGACCTATTCAAACATAGATGTGGCAGTAGAGTTTAAAATCTAATTGAGATTGGAATTGTTGATTATTCTATAAATGTTGTGAGAAAGCGATTCATAGAAATAAAATTTTGTTAGTGAATAATATGATATAATTTGATTCAGCATGTACACTAAAAAAAAGGTTTTGTTTCCAAGATTAATTGTCTATTTTTCCTGATCCAAGAGAGAAAAACGACAAAGATTCTGAATAGATGTTCATGTTTTAATGCTCGGGACATTGAGACATACGGACATTGATTTTTTCTGTACTAGAAGAAAAGAAAGCAATTTTTGCTATCGTTATTTCCCAGTACGAGTCTCGAGCAGCTAGGATGGGGATGGAACAGTTTTTAATTCGAATAATATGAAAGGAAAGTAAATGTTTTTTTAAATTTTTAATGAAATCAATAAAGAAGTTTCTTATATTAGTCCATTTGATGTGTTATTATCAACAAGGGTTCTTCGTTAAACAAATAAATAAGTTAATATAAAAGAAACTTCATAATTTATGACTGATCATTGTCTGTTTCATAGTGACGAAGATCGATTATTAAAACTCAAATTAATAACGAAGTGATAATAAAAAAAATTAGAATTTGATAGATTCTACTAAATTTTTTAGAATGTAAAACTAGAATAAATAAATATTTATTTGATGATGTAACATTAATATCATAATCAATGAAGTATTTTATTTCCTTCTAATATTATAACGTATCAGTTGAACAAGATACATTTATTAGTATATGACGCATACAACCGATATCAGAGCGCATTGAGATAAATGAAAAATAAGAAATACATTTTTCTTTCTATTGGTCACCAATTTCAAAAAGAAATTAAAATTAGGATTAATTAGAAAAAAACTTTCCTAAATTTAACTCATAGGCAAAGTTTCCACTCCGTTCATATAAATTTATTTGCATTCTGATTTTTGAACATCGTTTTTCTTTTCTTTTCTTTCCTTCGCTCTCCTTTTTCTCTATCTTTAATTAAATCTATTATTCCAATCTCAACTAAATTTTCATGTCAACTGTACCATAGACGTCACCGATCAAAACACAGACGTCACCTATGGAAACACAGTCGTCATCGATCCAAACATAGACGTCACCGATGCAAACACAGACGTCACGGATCCAAACACAGACGTCACCTATGGAAACACAGTGGTCACCGATCCAAACATAGACGTCACTCATGGAGACACAGGCGTCACAGATCCAAACATAGACGTCACCGATGCAAACACAAACGTCACGGATCCAAACACAGACGTCACCGATTCAAACACAGGCGCCACCGATCCAAATGTAGGCGTCGTCAATCCAAACACAGAAAATTTAGGTTTCTAGACCCTATCCTTTCAGTCTAGAGAATTGGGTTATATTTTTATATATTTTTAGCAATGTGTTCTCCGGAGTGCTCGAATGGTGGGATGTGCACTGCTCCAAACTCTTGTCTTGTAAGTTCAGAACTAGTCATTATTTGTGCGAGCACTTAGAAATTATATGTTTGTTTAGTGTACATCATCACGGACTAGATCTCGATGTAAAACACGTACGTAAACGTTCATTTTTCTTTAGTCACTGTACTCTAAACTTCAATGAAGGCTAATCGCCCCGGTTCATTCTTCACAGATTTATATGTGACTAGAATGAATTCGGCGAGTTTTTGCATGTCGTGTTGCACAGTTTGATGCAACAAGTTGATTGCTATCTTTGAATAGAGGATCATCAACCAGTCAACAGATAAATATGTATAGTTTGGGTAGTGATGGGCCGAAATGTTTTCGACTATCGCGAAACGATACATATCTTTAAAACGTAAGAACGAAAGAAATGGAAAAACATTACGCTAGTAATGTCTGATTTTTTTTCTTTATTTGCGTTCTATCGTAATCTATTTTTGCGCTTCCTTCCGGTATAACGATATGTACGGTATTGCGTCGTAATCATACGATAAATGCTTATAATTAGACGACTATAAAAGAAACATGTAGTTTTGACGTCTGACGTTGAAATCGCATAATAATTGTTTATAACGTTATATAGATGTAGACATTTTTCTTGTGGCCAATGTGTTAATGTATTAATTTAGATGAGATATTTCAATATTAGACTTCGGAGAATAATCTTAAATTTCGGCATTGCTCGCGTTCGATTTGTCTTATAAAATTAATAAAACTAAATATGCTATTTCATGTTAATAAATCATTGACTCTGAGATTATTTTTTTAAACAATCGTATGATATAATGCTTTAATTTAGAGATAGACGCTCTAGATTGGTACCCGAAAATGTTGACATTTTTATGTTCTTGAATAAAAATAGTTAAAAAAAGTGTATATTTATTACATAATATGTTTCTATATATATATTCATATCTTTTTGTTCTTATTTATTATTACTATCATTCACTATTTGCGCTTGTGATAAATAAATGTATGGAATTTAGAGTGTGATTGAT